CCTAGGTATATAGCCAAGGAAAATGAATTACATTTCTATACAAGAGCTTGTACATGAATATTAATAGCAGCATTATTCAAAATAGCTAAAAAATGGGGGACACCTGGGTGGCTTAGTTGGTTGTATGTCCAACTTTTGATTTTGGCTCAGGTTATGATCTCAGGTCATGGGATCAAGCCCCACATCTGGCTCTGTGCTTGACAGGAGTCTGCTTGATATTCTTTCTCTCTCCCACTGCCCCTTCCCCCCACTCTTGAGCACAAGTGCTCTCTCTCCCTCTCTCTCTAAAATAAGTAAATAAATCTTTAAAAAAAATACCCCAAAAGTGGAAATAACACATATATCCATCAACTGATAAAATGATAAACAAAATGTGTTCTATCCATACACTGGAATGGCAATAGAAAGGAATGAAGTACTGATACATCATCAACGTGTACTTTGAAGACTTTATGCTAAGTGAAAAAGCAAGTCACGGAAGACTGCATATTCTATCAGTCCATTAATATGAAATGTCCAGACTAGAAAAAAACCTGTGGATACTGAAAGCAGATTCGTTGTTGCCTAAGACTAGAGGTGGAGGGGAGAAATGCAGCGTGAGTGCTAATGGATGGATGCAAGGTTTCTTTTGGGTGACAAAATGTTGTAAAATTAGATTGTGATGATAGGGACACCAGCGTGGCTTAGTCAGTTAGGCATCTGATTCTTGGTTATTGCTCATGATCTCAAGGTTGTTGGATGGAGTCTCTGCACTCAACGGGGAGTCTGCTTGAGAGTCTCTCCCTCTCCCTCCTCCGTGACCCTCCCCCAACTCTCTCTCTCATGAATAAATAAAATCTTAGATTGTGGTGAAAGCTCAACACTTCTAAGAATGTACTAAAGCCCTTGACTGTGTACTTTACATGGGTGAATTGTATGGTCTGTGAATTATATCTCAATAAAGCTGTTTAAAAACTTTTTAAAAAAGGCATAAAATCAGGGCAAAAGAAGGACAAGTTTTCCAACAGAATTGAAAACATTGAGATATGATGTATTATTTTTCTTATCTTTTATCAACCCAATAACAGTATTTTCCACTATCCAAAAATACATTTCTTTTAACTTATGGATATAACATCTAGGTTACGCTTAGGAGTAGAACAGTCAAGTCATTCTGTTCAGTTAAATTTTTAATAATTGTGCTTACTTTGGTGGTACAGATTCTAAGACTGAAGCAGTCTAAGGAGCATTTAGCTAGAGGACATCTGAACCTCAGTGCAGTGTTCCATGTATTAGAAACATTGAAGGAAAAAAGACCTGAATAAATATGTGTATAGAAGAGAAAATATAGTATTGTAGAGGTAGTGTTAAAAAACAAAGTTCAGCCTAGTAAATTTGAAGATCTAACTGGCTTTATTTAACAATTCATTAATTGGGCAGCATCCCATCTATCAAGTACAGGGGAGGTCTGAGGAGTTGTACAAAACAGCAGGATTTTATAGAAAGAAGGGTGGGGCCGGAAAGTTGTTAGCAAAAGGAAAGGATTATTCCAGGCAGGGTCGCTTTCCTATAGGAGGGAAAGTAGCAGGTCTTACCTTGCAGGTTACCTCATCTTGCTCTGGGGAATGGAGAACGCCCCTGTGGCAGACTCATGGAGGACTCATTGACCCCAGGTGGGGAAAATTCCTGACTGATTGGTTAAGACTATTTTTCTGGGGGAGGTTGAAACTAGAATTAGATTAGTTATTAAACCCCAGTTTGGAACTCTAAGAGACAAAGAGACACCATTTTGGGCTTGTGGTTTTTCCTTTTAACAACGTCAAAGACTTACTGATCGAGGAAATCAGCAAGATGGCAAAACTGGTTCCAGGAGCATTTGGGCAACTGATGAATGTTGGAATAAGATATTTATAGGAGAAACTTTTTAATCTCCTGTAAGACAGTATTTGCACAAATACTAGACCAAAAAAATCTGTAAGTTTATGTATTATTTTACATAATATGAACCTTAATTGGTAGTAAATAGTAAATCAAAGAAACTGATATTCCTTACAGAATGAAATATTGCTTGGTGGGTCCGTTAATGCTCCAAGATGACGTTGAGAGGACATGCTCTTTTTTCTTTGTGTTTCTTCTAAGCCAAGGAGTAGCTGAAAGATGACTTATTCACTGGCGTGGGGATAATTGCCTATTCATGTGGGAAACAATTAAATTTAACTCTCACACTATACAAAAATGGATTCCAGGTATATGCCTGTCATTTTCTCTCTGTATTTGAAACATTTATCATAAAAAAAGAAGAAAATAGGTAGTTGATGAAATACTATATAGTAGTCTAAGTGAGTGAATTAGGTCTATATCAAAAAATACTGTTGAATAAAAAAATCCATATGTAGCCTGATGTACTGACTGTGATATTAATATAAATTTTAAAATACTATAGAATTTCAGGGACTTCGTGTACATGTATACAAAGGCATAAAGGACTAGAAGGCATAAAGGACTAGAACTTTTATACCTCTGAAAATGTGAATAAAATCTAACATTTTATTAATAATTATTAAGTTTTGCTGAGTGCAAATCTGTTATTGTCTGGTAAGGATAGTGTAATTGTAGCTTTGAAACATGCAACATTTACCTGGCATAGCAGACTTGATTTTAGTGGAACTTAATAAATTTTAGTATTTTATATAGATGGTATGTCACATCACTGGGGAAAATACATGGTCTTTAAAAAATTATCTTGGGGAGTGCCTGGGTGGTTCAGTGGGTTAAGTCTCTGCCTTTGGCTCAGGTCTTGATCTCAGGGTCTTGGGATGGAGCCCCACCATCGCCATAGGGCTTTCTGCTCAGCAGGGAGCCTGCTTCCGCCGCTTTCTCTGCCTACTCCTCTGCTTATTTGTGATCTCTCTCTGTCAAATAAATAAATAAAAATCTTTTAAAAAATAATAAGAAATCATCCTGGGGAAAATGGCAAAAGATTAAGAAAAAATACACAGCACTTTCTTGTACCATATATTCAAATTATAAATAGATCAACAAATTGAATTTTAAAAAATGACAGCACCGGTAAAATTATGCTATATAATCTTTGTGGAGGGAAGGTTTTTTTAAGTATTATGTCCTCAAAGTCAGAAATGTTAAAGGAAAGTGATTAGTTTTGATTAAATAAAAATTTCAATATTGGGGAGAATTTTGTAATTGAAGCTGAAGGCAAATGAGAAATGGGGTCATTTCTACAGTAATTTCGGCGACCATGTTTTTCTAGCCCTTATAAATGAATCTGTAATAGAACAGATGGGCAAGAATGGTCCAGATAGGTAGATGACGGCTTTGTGAATATCTTTCTCTTTGCTTCTAAGCAGAGGTAACCGTCAGTGTCCTCGAGTCTGGTTTGTGTAAGTGCTGGGTGCTTCCCCTATTCTGGTAAAAATGGCATTGTGATGGAAAACAACCTGTCTTAACCTACATTTCTTTCTATGTATGGTTGGTGTTTTCTTTTCTCCCAACCACCTTTGTGAGAAGAACCTTGATTTTCCCTTAACCTGATGTATAAAATTTAGGGAACTTGATATGTGCAAGATAGATTGAATGTTGAATCTAAAATAGTACAGGGTATTGGGAAATCTGAAAGGTGGGCTAGAATCAAACTCCACTTAATTGAGGGCATTGCACACTTAAAATTTAAAAAGAAAAAAAAAAAAAGCTTCCCTAGGGAAAGTCAATAACCCTTTTCTCTGTATGGCTTGTGTATAGTTAAGGTGAATGGAAGGGGGAGGTTGGGGCTTCTGTTACAACACGGGGTGGGGCTTACTCTTAAACTGGGTTTCCTTCTCTTGCTTGGACCTGCCTCCATGTGTCTCTGGAGGGAGCTCTGGGTCAATAAAATGGCCCAAGTCTGTAAACCAGATCAGTCCCCACCTCCTCTTTGTTTCCTTAGCACTCTGTGGTGTATGTGTAATGGGAAATGGAGCCATTTATTAAAAGAATATACCTTGCAAAATATATGTCCTTTAACTCAAGAATTTATACTCGGGAAATAATCAGGCTAGTGACTAAAGAGCTTATTACAATAGTGTTTGTAATTGCAAAACATTGGGAGCAACTTACATCTCCCCAAATAAGGGACAAATAACAAATTATGTTACAGTAACTATAATAAAGCAACTCTGTCGAGAAGAAAAGATTCAGGATAAGTTAAACATATGATGAAGGAAACTAGAACCTGTCACCCCATGATTTGACCTAAAAATCATTTTGAGCTGAAGGCAATCAAGAAGCAGTAAACACTGGAAAAGCTCCCCTTTTCCTGCCTAAACGCAGGAAATAAATTCTCCTTTTACTGGAGAAAGACATTTGTATCAGCTTAGCAACTCTGGAAACCTTTTTAAAGTAACCGTTGTCTTCTTAGTTACTTCTTCATCATATACTATTCTGAGCCCCAACCTTTGTCTCGCCACTTCTTCACAAATGTGAAAGCTGCTTTCTTCTTTGGGGTCTTCGGTCTCTTGTGAAGGCTCCCATGTACAGGATGAGTCAAGTAAAATATATATGCTTTTCTCCTGTTAATCTGTCTTTCTCCGTTTTATTGCCAGACCCAGCCAGGGACTCTAAGAGGGTCAAGGAAAACTTCTTCCATCCTTACAATAGTATTCCATTTCAATAAAGTATAAAAATGCATGTATAGATTTACCTGGGAAAAGATCTGGGAGGATATTTATATACAGGATACAGTGTTGTCTTTGGGTGGAGAGCTGTGAGGGTGATTTTTTTTCTTTTTTGTGTGCTAGAATAAACAAAATAAGTTTATTTTATTGCTGCTATATTTCAGAAATGTTCACCATGTAACAGTACATAGATTTTTGTTACTGGATTTTAAAAATTGATTAGACATAGAGGTGAGATGTATTAAATAATTGAAGGTCTTATGTTGTATACTTGAATTTATGGGGACTTTTCCTGTAGGACAAAGAAATAAAAACCTCATTCTGTTTTGTTTTGTTTTGCTTTTTTATTAATAGGTTTTCTCGCACAGATATGGCAACAAGCAGCCGTCCCTTTGCATCACTTGATACAAAACTGGCCTCTGGACGGCCCGGATCATCTAATGTGAGCAGGTCAGGAAGAGGGTGCAGGTGTTTTCGGGACAACAGGGGAGAGCAGTACAACCCTTTAGTGAATTGCAGTGTTGATGTTACAATAGGCAAAATAAGCAGGTGTATTCCCTATTTTATAAATTAGGGAAGGAGAGGCAGAGCTGCTAAAGGACTCGTGAATGGATGGCACTGTTACCTAAAAAGAAACCAAGCTAAATTCAACATTTGGGACACACATTCCCTTTTGAGGCTTTTGTATCTTAAAATTTTTTAAATCATCAATTTCCTTTATAAAATATTATAACCACATTGCCAAGCATTGGAGAAAATGGAAGGAAGGAGAAACATCTACCATAAATATGACTTCTTAAACTGTATTCTCGTCTTTTCCTGGGCATATGCTTCTGTCTGATATGGATGCAGCCATAGCGTTTTCACTGAATGTTGCAGTATGATTATTTCTCTACTTACATTCTTCTTGTATCCTTGGCTTAAAGAGCATTTTAAGAAATGTTGATTGTAGAAAATTCAGGAAATATAGAAAACTACAAAGGAAAGAGAAAAATGTATATTACTATCACTATAACTTTGTGTGTGTGTATGTGTATCCTTTTTTTTCCTCTTTATATATAGAGTGCTTTTTTTTCTAATTACTTGGCATCATGTTCTACATACTATTTAGTAACCTGCTTTTTAAAAATTTTGTTATTATTTTTTACCCTGCCCCTCCTCCTTTTTTTGTACCTGCTTTTTCAAAGTTAATGTATCATTACATTTTTCCTTTCCATTAATATCTTTGTACTATCACAGTTGCTAAATAATATTCCTTTCTTGCCCATTCTAGAATTAATATAATGAGTTCTTTCTTTTCGAACATGTATGTTTCTTTATCAGATATTAAAGGTGACTCTGTGAAAGTTATGTTTTATACTATGAGAAAGGGCTTTTTGTCTATCCTTACAGGCTTATTAAACTTTAAGTTATACACCAGATCTTTAGCATTTGAGATTTTGCATTTGAAATTTCAGCTACTTGTGAGTGTGTTCCTAATACTCGTGGTTTTGGCAGTTTGCCTTAGGGCTCAGCTCTCAGAGTACAACGAAGGGGTGTGATAATTTGAAGATTGATGAGTGGAGATGAAGCTGGAACTAACTCCTAAGGATCTTAAAGTCATTTATTTTTCACATTACGATTTCATTCCATACGTCTCTGCTTGTGGAAATCTGAGCTTTCTATAGGAATATGAGTCTCTCCCTCAGGGTTAACCTCTAACTCGTCTGATAGTTTCCTAAGTAACTACTGCATCAACCTTTCTAGATCTTCCTTGATTTGTGGTGGGCTTACATCCCAAATGAGCCCATCATAAGTTGAAAATGCATTCAGTGTTTCTAACCTACTGAACATCACAGCTTAGCCTTGCCTACCTTGAATGTGCTCAGAGCACTTAACGTTAGCCTGCAGTTGGGCAAAAGCATCAGAACCCATTTCTGGTAGAAGAGTAACTGAAGTGGGATTTTGTTTTCATGCTTGAAGGAAGGGATTTGAAGAGGTTGGTGGCATGGAAATGTGATTTTAAGTTCTTTTAAATTATCATACTGTTCATTTACTTACTGAAATATTTTCCTATTAGAAGTTGTTACACAGGGGTGCCTGGGTGGCTTTGTCAGTTAAGCATCCGACTCTTGATCTCAGCTCTGTTGTTGATCTCAGGGTCCTGAATTCACACCCTGTGTTGGGCTCCATGCTGGGCAGGGAACCTACTTAAAAAAAAAAAGTTACACAAAACATTTTGGAGAAGGCTCTGATTTTATTATTTATTATTTGTTTATTTGTCTGTCTATTTTGGTTGAGGGGGAGGGCACAGGCAGGGGGAGAGAGAGAGAGAATCTTAAGCAGGCTACATGCCTGACACAGGGCTCGATCTCACAAATCCGAGATCACGACCTAAGCCGAAATCGAGTTGGACACTTAACTGATTGAGCCACCCAGGCACTCTAAGGGCCTTAATTTTAAAGAGCAAAATTTCTATCAAATAACAGATAACTTTTAATAAAGGGTAAAATCATAATGATTATACAGATGTAGAAATAAACACGTTAAAGATTTTACTTAACTCGTTCATCAGTGAGGGAATGAGGCAGATGTTATAACAGTTTCAAAGGAGAAATTGAAACAGCACAAATTTATATGGAGTAAAAGAATATTGAAATTAATGTCCAAAGTCAGCAAAACTAGCTTTTTGTATGCTGAAGGAGAAGAGGTAATTGAACCTCTACTAGTCAGGATAGAATTTACATGTCTATGGACATGTTAATAGACAATTATTTTCCATTGCTCTCAGTTACAATTTACAGAGTTGCAATTCAACACTAAAAAACCGAATCTATTAAAAAATGGGTGGAGGACCTGAATAGATATTTTTCCCAAAAGACATACAGATGGCTAACAGACACATGGAAAGATGCGCAACATCACTAACTATTGGAGAAATGCAAATCAAAACCACAGTGAGATATCAATTATATCTGTCAGAATGCCTAAAATTACAAAAAAAAAAAAAAAAAAAGACAAGACATAACAAATGTTGCCCAGGAATTGGAGAAAAGGGAACCCTCATGCATTCTTGGTGGGCATGTAAACTGGCACAGCCACTGTGGAAAACAGAACGGAAGTTCCTCAAAAAAGGAAACGTTGAAATGCCATACGATCCATTTTCATTGCTAGGTATTTACCAAAAGAAAAGGATTCAAAAAGATGGTGCACCCCATGGTTATTCACATTCTTTACAATAACCAAGATATGGAAGCCAAGATACAGAAGATCTGGACACCCAAGTGTCCAACCATAGATAAATGGATAAAGAAGATATGGTGTATGTGTACAATGGAATATCACTCAGCCATAAAAAAACGATGAGATCTTGCCATTTGCAATAGCATAGATGGACCTAGAGGATATAATGTTAAGTGAAGTAAGTCAGACTGAGAAAGACAAATATATTCAACACTTATGTGTTGAATCTAAAAAACAAAACAAATGGATAAACAAAATGCAGAATCAGACCTATAAATGTAGAAAACAGATGGTTGCTAGAGGGATGGGGTGGGTGGGTGGGTCGGCAAAATGGATGAAGGAGAGTGGGACATACAGGCTTCCACTTAGGGAATAAATAAGTTGTGGGAATAAAAGCATAGGGAAATAGTCCATGATATTAGACTAACATTGTACCATGACAGATGGTAGCTACATTTGTGGCAAGAATAGCAAGAGAAGATGAGTCATACACCTGAAACTAAGGAAGCATTGTGTGTCCACTATACTCTAATTAAAAAAGAAAATACAGTTTACAGAGTTGCAAGATAGTTCCCTAGAATCAAAAAGCAATTTGAAGGGGTCTCTTCTACAGTCTAGATAATCATGCATAGTTTTCCGCCAAAGCATGTTTTTCCCCCCTACATGATCAAACTAAACCCCAATAACTTTCCCCTCTCCTATGAGTAAAGGTAGTTCCCCTGCTTGTGGTCTTTGTGCCTGCTATGAGCCTTATTTGTCAATTTCTTCCACCCTCATAACCGCTTCATAAAGTAGGTGGTGGTGGTGTTCCCATTTTTACAGATGAGCGAGTCAGGCTTCAGAACGTTAAAGACATAGCTACTCAGTGGTAGAGTTAGAATTCCAGCCTTCCGTCTCCAAAGTGTCCACGCACACACACATGCGACAATGTGCTTATAGTAAAAGCTGTAGACATTCTGTATATTTTTCCTTGGTCTTTAGGTCAACATCAAACAAGGTGGATCTCAAGTGTGGCCTAGAAGAATGTGAAGTGGCATTGAACTTATTTCTAAGTAACAAATTTACAGATGCCTTAGAATTGCTTCGACCATGGTAATTAACTTTATTTCTTTCAGATAAAATATATTTTTTTCAGATGTTTCTGATGATTCTTTCTTTCATGTCATGCTTGTCAGTTAATTTATCTGCATTTCCACCTGCACATTTCTAAGCTAATTTGGTGGAGACCCTCTACCGTTGGTCAGTTTTAATATCCAGTTAAGAAATCTGTCTTTTCAAATTTAATCAGTAGAACGTTTCTTACTCTCATATTTTTATTTCTTTATGTGTTGAAATACTGTCACTGTATATAGTTTCATAGAGCTTCATTTTGCTTTCCTCAGTGAAATGTTTTTATGGATATGCCTTTAAAGCTTATATATTAAAAAAAGTTTCCTTTGAAATAGAATGGGAAGAACTAGAATATGCTAATCTCAAATGTTCAAGAAGAAATATAAGATAATTAAAAAATGTTCTTGGGACTCCCTATTTATGTGATAAATAAGTTAAGCGATTTAATTTCAGTTAATAATACCTGTTCGTTTTTCAAATGTGGCAGCAACACCCATGCTCAGCCTTGATACTAGATGTCACCTTGACCACAGCCCATGTGGACGTATGTGACTATGTCTGCAGTGTGCCCGGAGCTTGACAGGAATAGTCTTACATTGTGCCTTCAGACATAGTCACTTGCTTGGATGAAGCTTAGATCTTATATCACAATTTTTTATTCATTTTTCTTTTTTCTTTTATTATTCTTTTTTAAAGATTCTATTTATTTGAGAGAGAGAGAGAGCATGGGCAGGAGTTGGTGGGGAGAGGCAGAGGGAGAGGGAGAAGCAGACTCTCCACTGAGCAGGGAGCCAGACGTGGGGCTCAATCCCACGACCCTGAGATTATGACCTGATTTGAAGGCAGACGCTTAACTGAGTCTCCCATGCACCCTAACAATTTTTTAGAGGGTTACTTGAGCACAATAGTGGGAATCTCATTTCTTTGGTCAGTAGGGTAATGTGATTCTGATCACAGACTTTCAATCTTACTAAACTTGTGGTGGTGAACACTGGATAATGATAGAATTGCCTAATCTCTATGTCGTACACCTGAAACTAATATACCATCCTATGTCAGCTACACATTTCAATTAAAAAAATTACATTACCTCCTCAGATGCTGCTGTGGTAATTCTATTACAATGTAGAAGAGCTGTGAGTATTTCAGACCTTAGGAACAGATGATAAAATAGATGTTTTTTTTTTTTTTTTCCACAGCTGAAGGACATTGTCCAGTGTTGTCTTTTTTTTTTTTTAAGATTTTATTTATTTATTTGACAGAGAGAGAGAGAGATCACAAGTAGGCAGAGAGGCAGGCAGAGAGAGGGGGAAGCAGGCTCCCTGCCGAGCTCGATCCCAGGACGCTGAGATCATGACCTGAGCCCAAGGCAGAGGCTTAACCCACTGAGCCACCCAGGCGCCCCCCAGTGTTGTCTTCAACACATGTCTGTCCTGCTTGTCTTCTGCCTTGTTTCCCTTTGTCCTTACCAGTCCTCAGACTTCTCTTTCTTCTTTCTACTTCCCTGTTTATTTCTCTCGGCCTGCCTACCTTTTTCTTTTTATCTCTCCTCTCTGAGCTTACCTGCCTATCTCCTTTGTTTTTTATTCACACAAGATTCCTTTTTTCCATCTCAGACACCCAGCTGGTCATAACACAGAATGAAAAGAAGTGATTATTTTATTTGGTCAGGTTTTATATTCTCTGATCTTTATGCAAATTTCGTTGTTAAACATATGTTTTTCCCACGTGAGTTCCTGTTTTCCTCTTGGAACTTTGGGTTTAAAATTTGAGGTTTAAGGGCGCCTGGGTGGCTCATTTGGTTAAGCGACTGCCTTCGGCTCAGGTCACGATCCTGGAGTCCCAGGATTGAGTCCCACATCAGGCTCCCTGCTCCACGTGGAGTCGGTCTCTCCCTCTGACCTTCCCTTCTTGTGCTCTCTCTCTCTCTCATTCCCTCCTTCTCAAATAAATAAGTAAAATCTTAAAAAAAATAAAATGATTAAAAAAGTTATAAAATGTGAAGTTTAAAACCACAATACATAATTAATTTTGCGCTGCTCCTAACTCCTTGTGATTTTTTCCAGACAGCCAGTGACCTCACTAGTCAGGACAGACTGCAAATTACCAAAGGATGTTTAGACTATTTCCATAGGGGAAAAGAATAATGTGTCTTGCATTTGTTTTTCGTAGCTATGGGCTATTGTGCATTATATTTGAATTAAAAACAGAATCGTGCATTACCATTTTAAATCTTACAACAAATTGACCTAATGAGAAGTTTTGAGAAAGAGATGGTGAGGTTTTCACAGCCTGAAAGTCTGGGATGTGTGGTCCATTAGGACTGATCAATGCCCTTAAGAGTCCAAGCAATTCTCACAGATAATTTAGTAATTGTAATTGTCAAGAACTTTAATCATAAATTGTAGATAATGGGATTAGATTAGATATGAGGTCTAAAACGTACTTTTGCATGGGCCCATTGGGGCTGCCCTAATTTATTGCAAAAATCTTGCTTTCCTTTGGCCTCCGGATTCTGTATCAGAATCTCCCTGTCACAAAATGCATTTCTAGTGCCCTTTATTTTAGTACTTATATCAGAGCTGAAGATAGTAAGTATATTGCCTGGTGTTCAACTGGGAAAAATTGGTTTGCTTTGAAATGTTTTCAAGGAAAAGAGTCCGCAGGCTGCCCCCTTGTGCTGAAACAGAGAAAAACAATTGTCGGCTTCTGCTTCAACCTGGAACATTCTGTGCAGCCTGTGGAGGCTCAATTTGGAAAGTCCTTGATATTTGAGTTTTTTAGGACATGCCTTTCTCAGTCTGTATTATTTCAGTGATTATGGTGTAGGAGTAAAAGTTACCACTATCAAAGTCACGATATGCATTTATTAGGATTTCTTCTGATTAGTATCAGACAAGACCTGCATGCTTTTAATTCTAATTGGAATGTATTAATTCCCTGTGTTTTGCCCCCAGGGCTAAGGAGAGTATGTACCATGCTTTGGGCTACAGTACTATTGTGGTGTTGCAGGCAGTCATGACCTTTGAGCAACAGGACATCCAGAACGGCATCTCTGCCATGAAGGACGCATTACAAACCTGCCAAAAGTATGAATTGAGTAATTAACTACTTGAGATACAACTACAAACCTTTATGTCTGTGTGACAAAGTGATTGTGGTTTGCTGATGGAAACCTCTGTTTGAAGTCTTCCCCAATTGTAGTAAGGGACTTGTACTCCAAAGCTTCCTGGCCTCATGTAGTTCCATGTAATAGAGTTAACATTTCCTATTAAGAATTATAGTAGATTCTTGTTTGGCCAACCACTTGGCATCTATACCTCCACCTTTTCCCCCCCCTTCCTTCTTTCTTTCTGTTCTTTTCTTTCCTTCTTTCCTTCCTTCCTTCCTCCGGTAGCTTGAACCACAGAGAAAAACTGAGGGAGACATGTGTGGGGTCAGCAGCACACATCTCTCAAGAGGTCTCTCTGGAGTGGATGAGTTCAGCTACTGCCTGCCAAGCCAGTGTGTCCTTTTATGCAGGAGATGCTGCCTATTCAGAAGGGAGAGTTTTATTTGTCTAAAAGGACATATTTGGACACTTCCAGTTGGTGAAAATGAGACGGATTTTCAGTTTTATTTTAATCTTTGCTCTGTGTGTATAGCAAGACCCCAGCAGCAGCTGTTAACTGGCATTGGTGAAGTTTAACATGAAACTATGTCCTTGTGTCATTATGTTGCCACGCTACAAATGAAGAGAGTTTCTAAATACTGCCCTCTAAGTGATTCTTAACCTGCAGGTGCCTCTTCCCCCAGAAATATTGATTTCGGCCAACAGATCAGGGAAGGTGCTTGGCAGGGTTAGCATTCATTGTTTTGTGTGGGTTTGTCCACTCATGTGTCCAGTAAACCTGGGTGGAGTGCCCACAGGATGCCTGCCCAGTGCTGGGTGCTGGGTGTGCAGTGTGGAAAAGAGTGGTCCCTGTGCTATAGACTTGAGGGTTTAGTGTTTCTCCTTGCTAACTCTTTGGTGTGACTATGACAAAAATGAATGTCAAAGGAAAATGAGCCTGGCCTGATTTATTGTCATTTTTTCTTTCTCTTTCCCATCTCCCCTTCTGCTTATTCTCCACAGATACAGGAAAAAATGCACAGTTGTAGAATCTTTCTCAAGTCTTCTTTCTAGAGGATCATTGGAGCAGCTGACTGAAGGTAAGACCTGTTTAAAGATTAAGTTTTTCCTGTCTTTGGAAAGTTAAAACATGATCATACTTATAAAATTCAGTATGCAAGTGTAGGATATAAAGGACATGGAATATCTTTTTCCTTTTCCCATCATACTCACCCACTGGTAATGGGTTAATGGATTAGGATTCCCCACATAACAGAGTGGGGTTCAAAGCTGATCTGCTTTTCTGCAAGCCACAGTTCTTTCCACTGTACCCCACACTTTCTCTGGTAGGCTTGTAGAAAAGGGAACAAAATGTTCACATATGGATGAGGGAAATGTTGAATCATTCCTATGTGAGACATCCTGAAAGTAGATGGTGCTGTGTTACTATCTTTTTATAATTTTTTTTTACATGGCACTTTAGAAAATCTGGACTTACTTACTTATTACTACTTATTAAAAAAGAAAACAAACAATGAGATACTACTATATACCTATTAGAACTTCCATAATCTGAAACACAACCACCAAATGCTGGCAGAGATGTAGAGTGAAAGGAACCCTTATCCACGGCTTGTGGGAATGCAAAAATGGTACAGCTACGTTGGGAGACAGTTTGGCAATTTCTTATAAAACTATACAATCCAGCAATCAATCTCCTTAATATTTACCCAAAGGAGCAGAAAACTTATATCTGCATGTGGATGTTTACAGCAGCTTTATTTATAATTGCCAAAACATGTAAGCAACCAAGATTTCCTTTAGTAGGTGAGTGGATAAATGAACTATGGTCCATCCAGACAAATGGAGTATTATTCAGCACTGAAAAGAAATGAACCATCAAGCCATGAAAAGACCCAGAGTGACCTTAAGTGCATATTATTAAGTGAAAGACACCAATCTGAAAAGGCATCAGGCTATAGGATTCCAAGCGTATGACATTCTGGAAAAGGTCAAACTGTGACAAGATCAGTGGTTGCCCACGGTCGGGGTGTACAGATGAGTATGTGGAGCACGGGGGATTTTTAGGATCATGAAAAAACTTTGTAAGATATCATAATGATGGATACATGTCTTTATACATTTGTCCAAACCATAGAATGTACGTCACCAAGAAGGAACTGTAATGTGAATTGTAGATGTTGGGTGATCATGATGTGTCCACGGAAGTTCATCAATTCATCAGGGGTGGTTAAGCACACATGGGGCAAGGGATACATGGGGAATTTCTGTACCTTCCCCTCAATTTTGCTGCAGACCTAAAACTGCTTTCAAAAATAGTCTTAATTAGAAAATAATAAACGTAAATTAGCTTGTGACTATAGCATAGTCTGAGAAACAGGTTTATTTAGACTTTTACACCCAAAGGCTTGTTTAGCTAACATTTTAGCACAGGGTGAAGCTATTTCCTTCTGTAGACTAAGGAAATATAATTAAGAAATGTTCTGGTAAGGTAACTATTCATAAATGCCAAATGGTTAATTTTGAGAATGGGGGAACTGCCCAATATAAATCAAGCAGAGTGAAGGAATGTGACTTTTATAAATTAAGTTGCATTTTATTCCTAATGAGTTTGGCTGTCACTACAACCCGAACAGACTTTGTGTTCAAGGGAGCATGTCACAACATTGTAGCTTTAGTATGTGATTTGTTTTTCCTCTTGGTAATTTTCATGTACATCCTTGAGTGGCTGGTTGTCTGCAGGAGTCAGTATATTTAATTAAATTTTTCGTGGGTTTAACATGAACATACACTTTCTTCTCTCAGGGCTGGCATATTGCCCTGAATGTTTTTCAAATTTCCTTTAAAAACAGATATGTGAATGCAGTACTTAGGATGTGAACGGGATTTAACCGGAAGGACACTTACATATGGTAGACAGAGTTCAAATTTCCTTGCGTTTTATCTCTGCCTTCTTGGTCCATGGTTTGGCTGCTCTGAGGTTTGTCCTTTTTTTTTTTTTTAAGATTTTATTTATTGATTTGACAGAGATCACAAGTAGGCAGAGAGGCAGGCAGAGAGAGAGGGGGAAGCAGGCTCCCTGCTGAACAGAGAGCCAGATGTGGGGCTCGATCCCAGGACCCTGGAATCAAGACCTGAGCTGAAGGCAGAGGCTTTAACCCACTGAGCCACCCCGGTGCCCCGGTTTGTCCATTTTTAACTTCATCCTGATGCAGCCAGTCCTTCTGCTCAGACCTCTGCACGGACTCAGTGTTACCTGTTGTTACCGGTCTCTGACATGGTTGAGCCTTGACTTACCTTTCCAGACTTATTTTACACTCCTCCCTTTACACACCTGTGCTTCATCACACGAGCCCCCCGGCCTTCCCCCCGCCATACACAATCTGTGTCACTGAGCAGACTTTCAAAGTGAGCAATGCCAAAACTCTTTCCACTCTGTTGCAAATGAACCTAAGAAGAGGAAATTCAGGTGTCTCTGTAAAAATCGAAGCCTCCACTTTTCATTCCCCCGAACACTGAGAAAACTGGGGGGTGGGGGCACATGTAGAGGTGAGGCATTCTGAAGGACCGAGTTCCTGGCTGGTGATGGCCACCAGAATGTGCACAGGCCCTACATCTGTGAGGTTGGCCCCAGCGGTAGGCGGGCTGTTGAAGGATCTCTGCCGCCTGGTTGCTTCTTTGTCAGTCCAACCTTTGGCCTGTGAGCATGGTAGGGATTGCGCCCAGTTTGCGAGAACCAGCCTGTCATGTGTCTGGTGGCAGCGACAGGGGATGGGGTCTGTGTGTAAGTGAAAGAAACAGAGTGCTAGTACTTCTCCACTTTGACCCAACAGCATCGCACAAACACGGAAGTACCCTACTTTTCAGCTATTTACATCACATAAAAATGTCCTGCTTTCTGAGCTTTTATGAAAAAGCCCAACGTGGACCAAGGGCAGTAGTCTCTGAGAAAGTAGTTACAAAAACCGAGGGCTTACTCTCCATAGTGAGCTCTGCCCAGCTCCTCATTTGATTCTTTAGCTGTGAAGTGAAGACGTTACCAGCTAGACTTTATGAACGAGGTGGCCGGCTGCAGAGAGGTGGATACCCATGACACGGCAGAACCTTTCCCCCAACCCGGGCTGTTAAATCCCCCAAGCTCATTTACTTAAATAAAATGCCAGTTTGCATCCCATGGATAAAATAGGAATCTGCTGATTTTGTTTATGCAAAAATGCAAAGATTTCCCTCCCACCCCAGTCTCTGCAAGTGTAAGGTATTGTTTGGGAAGCCCGGCCATGTGTTTTGGGGCATTCCATATGTCCCTGGGATATACATAGCTTTACAGAGTCCCTTTTGTGAGTGCCTCGTTCCTGCACTAGATAGCTCAGCGATCAAAATAGCCTGGAATTGTGCTAGTGTGAGCTCTTTTTAGATCATGTCTTCGGTGTGTGAGGAGTCATGACTTGGGGGTGCTGGTCCATACTTGTTCACAGAACTCCAGAGTACTGCCTCTTTCTCTTTAAGAGTACTGCCTCTTTCTCTTTAAGTTAATGGTGTGTCTAGTCATTGCCATGATTATCATACCTGCATATTTTGAAGCTAGAATTCATAAATTTAAGATAGTTTTTTTCAATCTCTCTAACTGGGTTAAACTTCTGTATTACTATTAAGTTAAAGAGTGATTTTTTTTTAAGTGCTTTTAAATTTTGGTTTCTTCTTGTGAGCTGAGTTTGGGTCTCTGGCGCCAAGCCCCTGACTTTTTGCGGTTATATTTGAGTGGGACCAAAGATGACTTCCTTAAATCCTTTTACACATTCTAGGAAAATCTTGCCGAGGGACTAAGAACCGAGGTCATCGTTCTGCTTTTATGGAAGTACCAAAGCAACCTAGATTTCTCTCTTGGGTTCATGGAGCTGCAAGTCTTTCCTGAACATCTTAGAGCAATTACTGTGGACATAGGATTTTCCTTAATGTCATTTTATTTGTTTTTAATAGAGGAAATGCATGCCGAAATCTGTTATGCCGAGTGTCTCCTACAGAAAGCAGCACTCACGTTTGTGCAGGTAATAAATGTTTGGCTTCGAATCAGTAACGCCGGGGAAGCCTGCCAGTACTACATAGGAAAAATGGGGCTCATTCGATGTCCGTGCTTCAGTTCTTTTGACTTCGACTTGTAATGGAAGATACTTGTTGTTCTGATAAACTTGGACTGAAAAATGACCCCAGGGAGCTTTGTTCCTACTCAAATGCACTTGGAGTCTGTTTCGCATTTCAGTCTATTGGGAACCACTGCCTTGTAAAGGGACTGTTTTGCAACTACTGCACAGAATTTCTGGATGCTTCTCTGTATGAGAGGTGTGAGATTATCCCTCTTTGCATTTGCTAATGGTAGAGGGCTATAGGCCCTGGGCAAAAGAGGCGTCTTCATCCTTGCCCCTTCCCTTCTTTCACCAGATGCTTCAGCAAAGCTCAGGCATGCATGCTTGGAGCACCAGGCTTTTCATCCATACTTCCGATTTTATTTTCTCCCCTCCTTCTACTCTCATGCCCCTTTCTTGCTTTTATTTCTTCCTTTGGAAGAGCAGTTTAAAAAAGTCACTAAACCAAACCATGAATACCTTTCTTTAAGGGACATTTTAATTTGACCTCTAGGAACTGTTACAACCAGTGCCTTGTCTAACATTGAATCTTCCAGCGCCTCTAAGAAACATGGATTTTAACATCAAGGCCCCATGGGTGGCGGTGATGGATACACTGGGGGTAGAGGTGGGGTCAAGATTGTAAGGGGGCAGAAATGCAATTGTAAAATTGGAGCTCTTCCTCAATTGCAATGTTTTACATTGTATTGAGAGTTGCTGTTCTTTTTTCTTTTCTTTTCTTTTCTTTTTTTTTTTTTTCCTAGAAATGGACTTCTTAGGTTGGATTCTGGTTTGGTAAAATTGAACCAATCTGGACTATGACCCTGTTTCCTTAAACCCTATGTATTATGAAGTCTGGTTGAAAACCACGTTCTTAATGCCTCGGTAAACATAATGCTAGTCACAGAGGCCCCCCCCAGTTTTTCTGATGTGTTTTCCAAATGGGGCTATGACAATCAAATCTGGGATTTGAAGGCATATTTTATATTGTGGGGACTTGCAATTAAACATCTGGGAGATAGCCAAGACTCCTCCCTCTTCCTCATGCCTCCAAATCCAGTTTAATGCTCCTGTTTCTTTGACCTTGTGAAGATTTAGCGGGGTCATCTCTTCCTCTTCCCTCTTGCGTGTTCTAGTGGGGTGTTCATCAGCTCTTCTCTACACGGCGCAGCAACCTAGTGACCCTCTGGCTCTAATTTCTCTTAACCTCCTGCTCATTGCCCGTTGTGCCGCTGAGTGCCTTCTCAGAGATGAGACTGTCACCATGTCATTGCTGTGCTATAGCATTGAGTTGCTCTCAGGGACTATGGCAGTGGTTCCATATCAGAATATCAGCAAGGAGGCGGGGGGAGCCTTTTTCAAACTAAACTGATGTCTTCGCCCATACTCCCTCCTCCCCTCTTACCCATGTCCTCAGATGCTACTGACAGGTGTGTTGCGTACCTGAGTGGCATGGGTAGCGGTAGCTTTCTTCCTTCGTTCTGTCTCTGTAGAAGCTTCTGTGGCAGCGCTGACTTCTGTAAGCCCAGGTGGCCAAGCACGCCATGATCGTTAATGTTTCCTTGCCTTTCCTGCTGCTTGAGTTTTCCCTGGCTCCCTAGGTCCGCATCTGCTTTGCCTTCCTTAATCTGGCCATTTCCTAGTTATTTTCTGTGCCTTAAGCCTCAATGCTTCCAGGAAGCTTCTATGGACCTCTCCATGCCACCTCCGCCCCTGCTCTGCACTCTCCTGACATCCTGTGCATATCTCCATCTGTGTGCATGATTCCAGCCCTTAGCACCTTGTACTGCTTTTGTCTGATGTTTCATTCAGATGCCTGGTATAAAATAGGCATTCAGTAAATATTCGGTGAATCATGAAATGAAATATTATTATTTGAGGCAGATTTTAATGTGACTTAGGAAGTTCTTTCCTGGCCTATCTTGGAACTTGTGTAATCATAAGATTCCTTAAAATAAGAAGATAAACATTTAAGTTGCATAGTGAATTTTGCATTTATTGATTCTTAGAATAATTTAAATGTTAAAGATTTAATAATTAATGAAAATTGTAAGCTAAAGCAAATTTTCCTCTTCTTTAGAAGGATGCCACAGGAAATAAATACCAGAGTTTCTCTCCATTATCAATAGACTAGAAAAATACTCTCCTCAGAAGTGTGAAATATGGGGCTGTCTCCATTAGCACTGTTAGATTAACTTCTTTTAAGCAGGTTTTGATATAATTTATTAAACAATTCTCTTGGAATCCTAGAATGCTGACCCTGAAAATGATATTCATTTAGGCCCTCTGCCTCCACTTTATGGTTGATGACCATAGGCAAAGAAAAGTGAAATGACTTTTTTTTCTCCAAAACAAAACTGTGTATTGGTGACAATCAGTTTAGGATCCAGATCAATAATTTTTGTTCTAGAAATGTTATGTAAGTGACATTTACGGTGTTAAATAGACTGAATGCTAAAGTACTGTGCAAAAGAAGAACCATCAGCCCATGTCCTGAAGTGTGATGGACTGGAAAGTTTGTCCTTAGAGAATATCCTTAAATCACCCATTTTGGATTCTGTTGAACCCAGAAGAAAATTCTGCATTAGATGATGTTTATCACAGTAGATTTGGACTAACATATTTGGCCACTAAGTGGTAAGGATTACTTCCTTAATTACTTGCTTGAAGTAATGCTTAAAATGTGTTCTTTTTATTGCCATCTAAGTTGGAAGGAAAATTGCAAAAGAACATTGCAAATGTAAAGCAAGAAGAATGTTTTAATTTAAAAATTATGTCCTCAAAAGATAGTGTTTTGTTCTAATCACACAAATATATAACGGTAATGTGTAAGAATCTTTTGCTAAATGATCTGATTATTTAACTCAATTGTTTTCAGGATGAAAATATGATCAACTTCATCAAAGGTGGACTCAAAATTAGGACAAGCTACCAAATATACAAGTAAGTTAAATATTAAGATGTCTTTTCTTAAAGTTTTTTTTCTTAACTTATTTATTTGACACAGAGAGAGATATCACAAGTAGGCAGAGAGACAGACGGAGAGAGAGGGGGAAGCAGGCTCCCCACTGAGCAGAGAGCCCGAGGCGGGCTCAGTCCTGGGACCCTGATATCATGACCCAAGCCTAACAGAAGATTAACCCACTGAGTGACCCAGGTGCCCCTAAGATGTCATTTTTAAATGATTCTTGTATTCTGTCAAATTTGTACTTCAGAATTCTCATAACATATGACTAGGCTTTATTTGGTGTTGGTAAAAATGCATGATTTTTTGGCTTACTGTGTATGTATTCAGTGCTATAGGACAACGGAATTTAAGTTTAAATGCAAACTGGAGAAAAATAGCTGGTAAAAAGGTACTGACAGAATTTCTAATTATATAATCTTCTTTTTTCTCTTCTAAAATCAATTTGTATATTTAAAGTTACAGGTATGTCTTTGGTCCAGACTCTGGAGTAGCACTGCTTGATAGAATTTTCTGTAGTGATTTAAGTGCTCAGTTAGGATGGACCATACTGTTGTCCATATCTTCTATATCCTCACTGATTTTTATCTAGCTGCTCTATCATTTGCTCACAGAGTGAAAAACCTCCAGCTTTGATTCGGGATCGCCCATTTCTTTCTTTAGTTCTGTCAGTTTTTGCTCGTATATTTAGAGCCTCTCTTATTAGGTTTATATATATTTTATTTTATCTTCCCAATGACTTAACCTTTTTTTTTTTTTCAAAGATTTTATTTATTTATTTGACAGAGAGAGTGAGATCACAAGCACGTGGGTGGGGGGGAGGGTGGTGGGGAAGCAGGCTCCCTGCTCAGCAAGGAGCCCGTTGCAGGTCTCGATCCCAGGACCCTGGGATCATGACCTTAGCTGAAGGCAGAGGCTTTAACCCACTGAGTCACCCAGGCACCCCATGACTTAACCTTTTTATCATTATGAAATGTCTCTACTGAACTCCTTATAATAAATATTTGTCTAGAAGTCTGTTTTGTCTGACATTAATATAGCTACTCATGCTTTTTTATAACTAGTGTTAAGTGTAGCATGACATGTTCTTTAAACCTATCTTTGTTTTCATATGTAAATTGCAGTTCTTAAAATGCTTATAGTTGGGTCTTGCTTTTTTATTCAGTATGACAAATGGTATGTTTGTACTTGTGGCTACCATTTTTCTTGTGCTCTTGCCTCGTTTGGTTTTCTCACTTCTTTTTTTGCCTTTCTTGCATTACTAAAATTTTAAATATATATATATATATATATATATATATATTCATATATATATATATATTCCAGTGTAATCACTCTATTGTTTTCTTAGCTGTAGCCCTCTTTAATTTTTTTAAAGATCATTCTAGTGATTATAATATCCTTCTTAACTTATCACAGTCAACTTAGAGTTAATATACTCCTGCCCATAAGTTCTTATAAAATATAAGAACTTTGTGAAAATATAGTTTCACTGACCATTTGTCTTTTATACTATTCTTTGATACCACACTTAAATATATTAGAAGCCCCACAATGCTGTGTCAAATTATTTTTTCATAAAGATGTATTTATTAATTTATTTGAGAGAGCGAGAGCGTGTGAGGTGTGCCCAAGCATAGGGGGAGGGGCAGAGGGAGAGAATCTTCAAGCAGACTCCCGCACTGAGCACCTAGTCTGACCTGGGGCTCAGTCTTATGACCCATGAGATCACGACCAGAGCCGAAACCAAGAGTCGGACATTTGACCAGCTGAGCCACCCAGATGGCCCAACAATAGGACTGTGGCTTTCTGTATCAGTTCTAGGCACCCCACGTTGAGTGGATTCAAGAGTACCTTCAGCTGACTAGCTATGGAAATATAAAGTTGGTGTGAGAGATGTTCCCACCTTTCAAAGTTCAGCTCTTCTCCAGTTTTTTACTACTTTTTGTTTTTACTTTCCAGTGCCTGAAAATGCATTTTAAATGTATATTTAAATTCCAAAGTTTATAGTTGTTATCTGGGGGGGAGTTAATCTAATATAAGCTAGTATGTGTATCATTATTAGCAGATCCCCAGGGGTGCCTGGGTGGCTCAGTGGGTTAAGCCTCCACCTTTGGCTCAGGTCACGATCTCAGGGTCCTGAGATTTGTCTGTCAAATAAATAAATAAAACCTTAAAAAAAAAAGGCCAGGGGGGTTCCTGGGTGGCTCATTGGGTTCAGCCTCTGCCTTTGGCTCAGGGTTCTGGGATCGAGCCCCACATGGGGCTCTCTGCTCAGCAGGGAGCACTCTCTGCTCAGCGGGGAGCCTGCTTCCCCCCTCTCTCTCTGCTTGCTGCCCTGCCTACTTGTGATCTCTCTCTCTATATCAAATAAATAAATAAAATCTTAAAAAAAAAGCAGATCCCCATTAGTGAGAGCAGAACCAAGATTTAGTATCTTAAGAGATAATTTTACCCTAAGTGATTTCATAAAATTATATTTCATTCAAAATCGTGGAGGTAGGGGAGAGTTTTGGGAAATTGACTATTGTTTTTAGTTTTCTTCTTGAAATCATTTTTCTTAAAATTTTTTTTTTCTTTTGTTTGACAGAGAGCACATGCACAAGCGGAGGGTAAAGGCAGGTTCTCTGCTGAGCAAGGAGCCTGTTGCAGGACTTGATCCCAGGATCCTGGGTTCATGACCTGAGCTGAAGGCAGACATTTAACTGACTGAGCCACCCAAGCACCCCTCTTGAAATACTTTTTAGATGCTATGGACTCCTGGGTAGCTTAGTCAGTTAAGCATCTGCCTTCAGCTCTGGTGGTGATCCCAGGGTCCTGGAATCGAGTCCCGCATTGGGCTCCCTGCTCTGTGGCAAGCCTGCTTCTCCTTCTGCCTCTGTTTCCCTCTCTCTTTCTCTCTCTCTGTCTCTCATGAGTAAATAAAATCTTTGAGAAAACAAAGAAATACTTTTTAGATGATAATAAAAGGATGTTAAAGAGCTAATTGCTTTTCTAGTCATCAGAACTTAAAAACCAGGATGAATTCAAGTAGTCTTAAAATGGCACAAACGTATCAGTGTGTGCACTCAGGTACTTTTGTACATACACACAGACATCTACTTGGGAATTAAAAATAGTGAAATTCCTATGTATGCATAGGTCTCTTTCAGAATAGTGGGAAAAATAGATACTTTTTGGGAAAATTGGTTCTTCATTCTGGAAAAAGAGCATAAAAATAAATTACATGTAGATTTAATATTAAAAATTTTAAAAAGGTTTTATTTATTTATTTGAGAGAAAAAGAGAGAGCGTGCATGTTCAGGAGGAGTTGGGTGGGGGGGAAGAATCTCTAGGAGACTGTGCTGAGCAGAGCCCAACGCAAGGGTCAGTCTCACAATGCTGAGATCGCGACCTGAGCTGAAACCAACAGTCAGATGCTTAACTGAGCCACCCAGCTCCTCTAATATTAAAATATTTTAAAAATGGTACTATTGAAAACATAAGGAAAATATTTTTATAGTCCTAAAACACAAAAGCCTTTATACTTTTATTTAAAATTTTTCACTTTGAAATAACTTCAGAATTTTTACAAAGAATTTTTATGTATTCTTCATTCAGAGTCACAAATGTTAACATCTTATAGAACAATAGTAATAATTATTTTTTCACAGTGATAATTATTAATACCAAGAAACTAACATTGACACAGAAGTATCAATTACTCCACCGATTTTACTCTGATTTCTCTAATTGTACCACTAATATCCTTTTTCTGGTCCAGGATTGAATCCAGGATTGGGGATGTTGCATTTAGTTGTTACGTTTCTTCAGTCTGTCTTTTTTAATCTGGAAGAGTCCCTCAGTCCTTCTTTATTTTTATGACCTTGACATTCTTGAAGTATACTGGGCAGTTATTTTGTAGAATATCTCTCAATGGGAACTAATCTAATGTTTCTTCATGATTCCATCCAGATTTTGCATCTATGGCAAGAATACCATTCAAGTGATATTGTGTTTTTAGTAGTGTATCGTATCAGTAGATACATGATGTCAATTTCAGAAGCCTTTTTGAGTGTGACATAAAATCAGGAACCAAAAAGACTGACTTGGCCAAATAAACATTTCAGTTTTCATCGGGCAAAATACACCATAATAAAAAATACAAATGGAAATGTGATAAATGATTCAGGGCAAATGCCAGTGTGAGGAGCTCATAAGTTGGTGGGAATCTAAACTGATAGAGTTTTCTGAAGGATGTTTTAATAATATGTATCAAAATTAAGAAAGTATATCACCTTTGATCTCAGAAGTCCCTTTTCTAAGAATTTATCCTAAGGATAGTTGTGATAGATTAACTATAGTTACAGTACTTGATGTAGGAAAAGTACTTGATGAATGTACAAGCATACTTTTAGCAACATTGTTTATAATATGGAAAATTTGGAAACAATGTAAATATTTCATAATGGAATTTGGTTAAAGAAATTATTCCATAAAATAGAAAAATATGCACTTGTTAAAAAATAAGGTAGCTCTCATGCATTTTCATAGAAAATCATCAATACAACCCATAGGATAGTATATACTATATGGTCCTATTTGTGGTTTTTAAAGTTTGCATTCTTACTAAAGCATAAAACCCCCTAGAAGATTATGTACCAGGCTGTTAGCAGTGACCATCTCTCTGTGGGATAGTCATGCAGGGCACTTACACTTTCTCCATGTTATTTGAAAATCTTACAACAATCATCTATGACCAGAACATAGAACATTTATATTTTGATTAAAAATGAAAAGAATTCTGAAAATCATTTCTACCTCCTGCCATCTTATTGATATATTTCATGTTCACATTCTTAATGCATGCATATGAGCATATATAATTATCTCTTTATGTAATGAAATCATATTCTTCATGTCATTTTGAAATTTCCTTTCTCACTTCATGTCACAAATTTAGTTTAAATATTCTTAAATATTTTTAGTTCATGGATTTTAATGGCTATGTAGCATTCCGTTATGTGGGTATACCACCCATGTGTATGTATAAATATATGCAATCCTGTGACTCTCTTCTTAATTAATTTCCTGTTATTGCCAGTTTAGCTTGTTTATACATTTTCATTATAAATAGTAATACAGTATCTCTCCTTATAAGTAAGTTTTGTGTTTATCCGTGATAGTTCCTTAGAATAAAATTAGATTTATTGGGTTAAAGGTACACCTGTGTTTAAGACTTGATATATATTGCAAAATCATTCTCAAAAATAATTGGCTTGGCAAACTTTTTCTTAAAGGGCTAGATAGTAAATATGTTTGGCTTAGTGGGTCATAAGATCTCTGTTGTAGCTACTCAACTCTATGTGTGGTATAAGCATAGACAATAATAGAAAGAATGAACATGCTTATGTTCCCATAGTTTGCCAATTTCCATACCATAACCACCTCTTACCAAAGTAGATGAATATGTCTATTTGTTCTTTCCTTTGCCAGCACTGAGTTTCCATTAAAAAAATTAAAATAATACTTATTATTGTGAAAATGGCACATATATTTAGGAAAATAAGAGAAGGTAGATGAGCAGCTATTAACATACAGAATCCATATTCTTTTCACACAGTGATGATGTCTGCGAAACTGAGTATATATTATTTCAGAATATTTTCTATCCAAATCTAAAGATAGGTGTACTTTTTAATGTGCATACTCTTTTGTAACCTGCTTTTTTCAGTTAGTGATCTTTGCTTTTCCATGTGAATAAATCTTCATTTCATGTAATACTCGAGTCTATCTTCACGTTTTCCTGGTTTCTTTTACTGCTGGTATGTCTGTACCAGGACATAGCACAGGACTGTCTCCTGCATCCTATGTTTATGTCCATTTAGTATCTTTTTTTTTTTTTTTAAGATTTTATTTATTTGACAGAGACCACAGTAGGCAGAGAGAGAGAGGGAGAAGCAGGCTCCCCGCTGAGCAGACAGCCCGATGCGGGGCTCAATCCCAGGACCCTGGGATCATGACAGCCGAAGGCAGAGGCCTTAACCCACTGAGCCACCCAGGCACCCCCATTTAGTATCTTTTATTCTAGAACCATCTGTCTATTCATGATTGTTGTTGAAAAGCCCAAGCCAGTTGTCCTGCAGAATATCCCATGGATTTGCTTGATGGCTTTCTGGAGTTTCTGCTAAAGAACAGAATTTTATTTTCTCCGAGTTCTGGAGGTTGCAAGTCCAAGATTAGGGTGCCAGCGTGGTCAGCTTCTGGAGAGAGCTCAGGCTTATAGACAGAGAGCTAGCTGCCTTCTCACTCAGCCCTAAAAGTGCCAAGAGAGAGATAATCTCTCTTTCTCTTCTTCTGAGGTCACCAGTCTTATCAGAGTAGGACCCCACCTTTAATTACCTCCTAAAAATCCCTACCTTCATATATCCTCACAATGGGGCTTAGAGCTTCAACATATGAGCTTGGAGGGGGGTGTAATTACTTTTATTCCATAGCGTTCTTCTAGAGCCTTATATTCCCTGTAACTGGAAATTAGATCTGTAGGCTTTCTGGATTCAGGTTAAATAAATTTGGCTAGAATACATCATAAATGAAGTTGTATGCTTTATAATTATATTACACAAGGTGATACCTAATATCTGGTTATTTCTTATTACCTTTAAATATATATTTGTCAATTTGGTAAGCAATTCCTGTTCATTACCAAGTTTTATATCTTTGTCATTGTTTCAATTTGCATTTCTCTGAATAAGTATTTGCCTTTTGAAGACATGAAGGGAAGGGGGGAAAGGCACAGAAAAGAAATTAAAATGAGAAAAAGAAAAGAATTGCTTGGATGGAATAGGAAAAAGAAAGACAAATTGTGCAGTGATAGAATTTTCTGTCCTTTTTCAGTCTTTCCTACTTGCAAGCTCTAATTTATCAGGTCTATTTGAGATCACGGTGATCACACTGAAATTCACATCTTTTTGGCAGTAGCTTCTCGGATACTCGGTAGAAAGTAGGGTTGCTTAAGCGTGCACAGGAACCGAGGAATGGAGCACCCCTGGGAAGTCTTCTATGAGACATTGCTGGAAAGTTGTGAGGTCACAGCCCTGTGGTCCTGGGGCTCTGGAGTCCTGCGTGCTGATGTTTGAACCCTGGAAGATTGCTCCTGATAAACAGGGCAGAAATGGGTGTGTTAGTTTTTCCTTCATGACTATTTACCCAAGTAGCCTTTAAGGTTAAACTCAGCACAGTTGCCTCTGTTGAAAAATCACCTAGCATTTTGGCTAATGACATTTATCTTATAGCATGTCCGTGTGAATTTTGACTTCACGTTAATTTTCAGAGTCATAATAAAACTTATGCGATAACTTTTTTCTTCAATCCAGAGAATGTCTTTCTATCCTGCATGTAATTCAGAAGAATAAAGATGAACAACAGTTCTTCTATGAATTTGAAGGGGGTGTCAAGCTTGGAATAGGTGCCTTTAATTTGGTAAGTAAATAATTATAAAATAGGCGCCAGAAGCTTTTTTAACAGAACCTAAGTTTTCCAGAGCCTTCTCTACGGTGTGTGAACATCTGCCTGGGTTTGGTTGACAAATGGCTAGAGTGGGATTGAATTTTTTTGTGTTGTGACCCAGTGGTAACTTTGGCCAGTATGTGTTGTAAATTTCTGCACATGCTTAGAGTTGGTTTGGATTGTACAGGAGGGGAAGCAGGCAGCACGCTAAATGGACTGGCAACATTTTTGGTAACAAGGAGCCAGGAATCTGGTTCCATTTCCACATCAGAAATATTGTGGCTTTAGCAATGGTAGCTCTGGAATTGAAAATCGGTGAGCAGTAATCATGTATCTTGAGGCATGATTTTGATGCTGTGGGAGAGGTGGAAGTTTGAATAGATATTGGTCAAATTATAATATGTTATTTAGAGATTTTGAAATTTATTAAGGTTTGACTGTAATTAATGAGAAAATGCATTGGAAAAGGGAACAATACACATAAATGTGTACATCACCGTGGCCACTTTGTTCATGAGCCCAGTTAGCGGTAGGGGTGTCTGGGGAAAGAGGCTGGCTGGCTGTCACCACGGGTCATCCTATTCCCTTGATTATTCAGATCCTCCTCTGCTGAGGTCGGGCTTTGGTGAACATTCACTTGCAACACAAATATCTTCATGTTTTTTTCCCATCTGGAGAGGTTTATACTCTTCCTTAGACTTCCTTGTCATTAATATTCTAATGATATTCCTTTCAAATCCCTGACCATCCAGCCAAACAGCCAAACCATTGGCTCCAGCCAATGAACCATATAGAATCACACACATGGCCATTTCTCCTTCTGGGCAAAGTGAACAAGCAGGTGACCTGCTTTTGCCCTGCCTGGATTTCCCCTCCCCACTGTTCCCCAGGGATGTTCTAGAAAGCAACTGGAGGGCTGTGCTGTTCACTTTTAGGTGGTGCCTACATATTATGCAGAATTCAACAGCCTCGCTTTCTGGAAAAGGATGTTAAAAAGGGGTCTTGTTTGCAAGTGGGCACTGAGAGATTCTTAGCACTTCATCACTGCACGTAAGAGGAGCAAGTATTCTCTCTCCAGCGTCCTGAAAAGGGCAGGGATTTTGCTGTCCTTGTTGTTGTTTGTTTGTTTGTTTGGTTGGTTTTTTAATTTTTTAGGTTCGTTGTCTTAGGTAAGTGAAATTAATTCACAAGTGATGATTAACCATATGTGCAATATGTGATGATTGAGATATGTATGTATAGTGGTTCAGACTTGGTTCTAATACTTCATATTATCGAATCATGAAACCTTTAAGTTGTTTGGAGGTTAATATTTATCTGTAGATAGATACACTAACAAATAGACTTTTTTTTTTTTCTTCTTGCAGATGCTCTCCCTTTTACCAGCCCGGATTATCAGACTGCTAGAATTTATAGGATTTTCGGGAAACAGGGTACACATTTAATTTTATCTTAATTTTGAAGGGAAAGATAAAACATTATTTACTGAATATGAGGACAGTGCAGCACATCTTCATAATTAGCATGACAGTTATTGACAATTTGTTTGCAGGACAGTAAAAAGTCATGGGGGTCTTGATCATGCTTTCCAGGAGATGCGATGGTTTTTCTATTGAAAGCTAATTTTTTTTTTTTTTTAATCTTTGTTACCTAAGTTCTGGGATTAAAAATTATGTTTTACTAACATGGCTACTTGCTGGACTTTGGTCCTCTTGTGTGTTTAAAATATGCTTCCTTAACCTTTTAGCAACCACAGAGTGTTCTGTAAAACCAGGAAATTAGGCTAGTTTTCCATGTCTCCCATTTTATGATTCACCTGGGTCAAAAATAGTCATGGTGTTTTGGGTTTCCTTGCACTTTTTTAAGTTTCATGATAAAACTAAGCAAGGAAATTTTGTTTTCCCTGTTTCATTCATTATATTTCTGTGTGGCTGTTTTTGTAGTGTATAACATTTATTAAACCTAACACTCAATATGCTATTACCAGGATTGCCTTATTGAAATAGCCGTCCCTAATAGTGAAGAGGGCAGGTTTGGAGAACTGTATGAGAACAAGTATTTGAAGCTGTTGCTCCCCACCCCACCCCCACCCGCCCCACGGGTCCTGTGCTTCTCTGTTTTCTGTGCTTCTCCTGCCCTCTTATCTTGGATATCCTCCCTAGCCGGCAGCCTCCCAAATAATGTTCTTGTGAGAGCCTCTCCGTACATTAGGTTTGAGATAAATGTCAGCTATTCCTCCATCTGTCCCTTATTCTCTCCCAGTGAGGCTTATGTACTCCTAACTCAGAACCATACATCTTTCTTACGACGTTCACCATATTCTAGTACAACCGTGTGCTCATGTAGTGTCTTCCCTATTTGATAGAAAGATCTTTGAAGACAAACCTGTATTTGCTCATGACATTAAGGAGGGCATGTGATGTAATGAGCACTGGGTGTTATATAAGACCGATGAACCACTGACCTCTATCTCTGAAACCAGTAACACATTATATGTTAATTAATTGAATTTAAATTTAAAAAGTTTTTTTAAAAAACCCTCTATTTTTTCATACCCACCATAATGCATTGCACTTAGATCCTCAACATGTTTTAATAAATTAATATTTTTATAAGAGAAATTCAACATTTCTATGGAATGAGCAGTGCCTTTATCCTTTCCCTAGAATCACATAATAAGAAAGAATTTGTGAAATTTATCTTATGCCAGTTTAAAATGTAAAGTTTGTTTCTGGTCAGGCATTGTCCCTGTTCTAAGCTCTTGAAAAGTGAACTCCACCTTCTTGGTGGGTGGAGATACAAGAACTTGGCCTCTGTAGTGTCTGAATGTGACTTTTGAGTCAATCATGTTTTCTCCTTCTAAAAGGCATTTGTTTCCCACAGGAGTTGGGCCTCCTGCAGTTACAGGAAGGTGCATCAGGAAGAAGCATGAGATCTCCATTATGCTGCCTAACTATACTAGCTTTTCATACTTACATCTCCCTCATACTTGGTAAGGACTGGATTATGTTTTATGTCATAGAAAGTTGACTACCTTTCATCTGAGTAAGTAAAGAATTTAGATTGTAACCTCAAAACCAATAGAACATTGTATGTTAATTATTTTTCCACTAAAACAATTAGGAAGAAAATCACCAAGAGCCAGTAGTCTGTATCTGTTTACTTTTTTCTCTTTTTTTTTTTTGAGTCAAGCTGAAAAATAGTGACATTTGTCATAGTAACATTTGGCAGAGGGTGTGGAGGGTTGCTTTCCCTGACTACTTTGTATCTGTTCTCCACTAAAAACATTCTGTAAAATTTAAGGTGACCTGTTTTAGCATATTCATATCAGATATCTTTTTGAGTAGAAAATTAAATTTTTTGGCTAAGTTAATATTGCTGTTAAAACCGGAAAACCCAGTTAGGACTCAACAATAACTCCCTCCATTTTTTTTTTTTTAAAGATTTTTTATTTATTTATTTGACAGAGATCACAAGTAGGCAGAGAGGCAGGCAGAGAGAGAGGAGGAAGCAGGCTCCCCTCTGAGCAGAGAGCCCGATGCGGGGCTCGATCCCAGGACCTGAGATCATGACCTGAGCCGGAGGCAGAGGCTTTAACCCACTGAGCCACCCAGGTGCCCCCTTCCATTTTTTTTTTTTTTTAAGATTTTATTTATTTATTTGACACAGAGAGAGACAGCAAGAGAGGGAACACAAGCAGGGGGAGTGGGATAGGGAGAAGCAGGCTTCCTGCCAAGCGGGGAGCCCGATGCAGGGCTTGATCCCAGGACCCCCGGGATCATGACCCAAGCCGAAGGTAGACCCTAACGACTGGGCCCCCCAGGGGCCCCAGCTCCCTCCATTTTTAAGAATTAGTTGGTCCTAAAGCTTTTCTTAAACTAAAGTTATGGGAGGGCCCTATCTTGCCAAATTAACAGTTCTTATCTTTTCCACGAATAGGAGTTTGCTATAATTTACTAGTATGTAAAGAATTGCTTTTATGTGTCTCCCCTATTTCGTGAAGACTGAGGCTTTTCCTATTGAATTTCTAGGTACAGGAGAAGTGAATGTTGTGGAAGCAGAGAATCTCCTCGCGCCCTTCCTCCAGCAGTTTCCAAATGTATGCTTAGAATTTCAAGTGCTTGTTTCAGCCATAAGCAGTCAGGCAGGGCCGACCACTGATCAGTCTGTCTGCTTCCTTTCTCCCCAGGGCTCCCTCATGTTGTTTTATCACGCCCGGATAGAGCTGCTGAAAGGGAATGTGGAGGAGGTAATTTATCGTGGGGGGAGTAACTTGGGGAGCTGTCTGTCAGGTGGAGTTGTGTCCTACTCATTCAATATAAGTAAATTCAGCTATATGCACTAGACAGAAACGTAGACAAAATATGTTGTCAAAATGCCCCAATTTAATTTTATGTGTGTATCCTACTCTACGTAGATTACTGAATAGAGTCTATTACTTACACATTAAGTATGTGAGGCAGCTCGGAGTAGAATATACAGAATACAAGTGGGCACCTTTAAAGGAATTTCAGAAAGTTTATCCGTTTCTGTATTGCATATTGACTTTGAAATCTCTCCCCTGCGTAAGATACAGCTTCACTGTACTGCACATACTCCTCATCAGAGGAAATTATTCACTAATTCTCTTGAAGAAGACAACTGTGGGGCTTTTCATATAAGTATACTCACAAATAATTTTCTTCTACACAAATGAAATCAAACATATATATTTTTCTTTGATTTTCCCCCCCTCCTACTTACATCTTGGATTTCTTTCCAGGTCAGTATATCTAAATCTCCCTCATTCATTTTGATGGCTGGATTTCATTCCATGAGGAGGATATGTGGTACTTAGTGAAGCAGTCCACTATTGATAGACATTTTTCTACTATAACTGTGCTGTTGTAAACATCCTTATGTGTATGTTTCCATGCGCAGATTCTGATAATCAGGATTTGTAGGTCAAAGATGTTTGCATCTTGATAAATCTAGCCAAGCTGACCTTCTAACTAAGGTTAATAACTAAATTTATTCCATCTAAATGCCTATAAAGATGTGAGAATACTTGTTTCCAATGCACTTTGCCAACTCTGCACATTATCTGTTGTATTTTTGCCCGTGTTATAACCAAAACATAATCTAAGTTTTAAAAAGATTTTATTTATTTATTTCAGGGAGAGGGAGAGAGAGCACGTACATACTTGTGCAAGAGCAGGATGGAGGAGGGGCAGAGTGGGAGGGAGAGGGTCAAGCAGACTCTGTGCTGAGCTTGGAGCCCGACGTGGGGCTTGATCTCAGGATCCTGAGATCATGATCTGAGCCAAAACCAAAAGTCAGATGCTCAACTGACTGAGCCAGGTGCCCCAAGAATCCAATTTTTAAATTTATGTTTTTCATTTTACAAATTTCTTCATGTGTATGTTTATCACGTGTTTATCTTTTTCTCTGATTACCTGTTCATATCTTTGACAATTTTCCCATTGAGTTGTTTGTCCTTTTTATATGGATTTTATTAAGTAGTTGTTGATAAGGATTAATTTTAGAGAGTTGTGGATGTAGTAATATCTTCTCCCAGTCTGCCTTTAACTTTGTTTAAGGTATATTTTAAGTTCTGGGAGTTCTGGCTTTATGTTCAGCTCTTTGGTAAAGGAATTCTGCATTTTATATCTTCCTTGGGAAGGAACTTCACTGTTCCCACATGATTAAGTGCCACAGCCCCCTCACAAAGCTAAGTCAAGAGGCAGAACTTAATTGTATCATTTCATGCAGGTAAAGGAACATATCTCATCACATTGAGTGGTTTAATGAGAGATGCTTTTGTTCTTTTTGTACAAAGTGATTTATGTATTTTTCCATTAGGTTATTATCTCCTTGTCTAATATCTGGATGATCAGCTTTATGCAATTGACTTATAGGCACAAGAGATATTTCGAAAATGCATTTCAGTTCAAGAAGAATGGAAACAATTTCACCATCTCTGTTACTGGGAGCTGATGTGGATATATGTATTTCAACAAAACTGGATGGAGGCATATTATTATTCTGATCTGCTTTGCAAAGAAAGTAAATGGTCCAAGGTAAAATGCTGTGCTTTTGTTGCTGTTATCTGTTTGCTAGTAAGTGTCCAGGATGCTTTTTCTTTGGGACTGTTCAGAAGTATGACTTCAACCTACTTTCTCAATTTAGGGATTTGTCAATAGGCATTAGGTACCTATTTCTTATAAGCACGGTCCTTAGCACAACATGCTCTAACAGCCCTCCAAACAGTCCTCGTCAACAAAGAGGTTTTATCTCTGAGGATGAAATGCATTTACATTTAAAAAGTTATCAAGCAGTCTTGATAATTTTTTTGTAGATTTTTATGATGCCCTGGTGAGGAGGCTTTTCACAAGAATTAAAATTAATTCTGAACTGTTTGTGAGAAGTTGGGAGAAATGAGATGATTTCTTGTTCATTCTATGTACTTTCTTGCTCCTAAATGCTACCATTGTATAATAGGAAAATGGCCAAAATTAACTGAAAAGGGTTATTCTCAATAGGAACCAGCAATGTCAGACTTCATTTCCTTTTATTTCTTTGGTGCCTTTTAAGTGTTAAATCTAGACGGTTTGTAGGTCATTCCCGACTTGCAAGAGAGAAATGTCATGTACCTAGAAATGCCCTATAACTAGTTGCTTCTTTTCTTTTCCTCCAGGCAACGTATGTGTTCTTGAAAGCTGCAATTTTGAGTATGCTTCCAGAGGAGGCTGTCATAGCAACGAAAGAGGATGTAGTGACTTTATTCAGGTGAGCCAGGAACTCTTGCTAGAACGAAGATCCTGAATATATCTTTCTTTTCCCCTGAGTGTTCTCCCATACTTGACCTTCATATCTTCTTTAATGTCTACTCATTCGATGCAGGAACCCTTCAAAACCACACTCAGAGAAGGTCTGCTGTGAACTGCTCTTTTTAACTGTGTTTAGATCAGTATCCTCTGGAACCTTGTTTTTGAGCACCTGCTGTGTTGAATAAGTAGGCAGGGCTCCTGTCCTTGTGGCAGGTATAACCTTGTCGTGGAATCAGGCGTCAGTGAAATTATCACACAAATAATGGCAAAATTGTAGTACATGACTAATTTTTTTCCTTACTGCCTTTGTTGCCATTCCTTCTCAGTATTTTTGTAGGCTCATCCTGTTTTATCCAGCTATTGAAGGTTGATATCTTAGAGCCACAACCTTAGGAAATCTTAGCGAGGCCAAGTTTAAATCCTAGTTCAGACTTCCTGACTGAGCTCCTGACCCATACAGCCAGCTCCCATTTGTCACCTTTCCTTGGATATGTGAGAGCATTTTAAAAATTTATTTATTTACTTAATTTTTAAATATTTTATTGATTTATTTTAGAGAGGGGTGGGGAGGAGTAGAGGGAGAAGAAGAGAGAGTCCCAAGCCAATGTGGGGCTCGATCCTAGGACTGCGAGATTATGACATGAGCCAAAACCAAGAGTGTGATGCTCTACCAACTGTGCTACCCAGGCACCCTGAAAGCATTTTAAACTTACCGTGTTCAGTCTTCCTGGACAAACTTAGTATTCTTTCCTCTTTTGGTGACTGGGACTACAGTTCTCAAGCCAGAAGCTGATAATACTTGCATCACCAATGCTACCCACAGTGCCCCCAATTCCCCACTGGGAAGAGAAATATGCATATGCACGTGGAGGCAGTAATGGTTGAGATGGTGTATAAAGGTGGACTAGGAGCTGCTGAGGCAGCAGGGAGCTGTGGTGGTGCAGTTTCAGACCAAGAGAATAGCACAAGAGAGGACCCTATTGCAGGAAGGAGCACTGCGCATTAAAGAACCAGAAGGTGGTAATTTGGTAAGACATCATGCTACATTTGAGGTACAGTTGACCCTTGAACAACATGAGTTTGAACTATGTGGATCCACTTACATGTGGACTTTTTTTGGGTTTTTTTTTTTTTTTTTTGGACCAGTACAGTACTGAAAATGTATTATCTCATCCTTATGATTTTCTTAATAGCATTTTCTTTTCTTTAGCTACTTTATTGTATAAAAGTATGGTATTTAACACATACAACACACAATATATGTGTTCATCAGCAGTTTATGTTATCTGTAAGGCTTCTGGACAGCAGTAGGGAGTTAGCAGTTAATTTGGGGAGTCAAAAACTATATGTGGATTTTTTTTTTTTTTTTAGATTTTATTTATTTACTTGACAGAGACATAGCAAGAGAGGGAACACAAGAAGGGAGAAGCAGGCTCCTCCCTGAGCAGGGAGCCCAATGTGGGGCTTGATCCCAGGACCCCAGGATGATGACTTGAGCTGAAGGCAGCTGCTTAAGTCTGAACCACCCAGGCACCCCATATGTGGATTTCTGACTATGTGGGGGGGAGGTGTTGGTGCCTTTAATATCCATGTTGTTCAAGGGTCAGCTGTTTATAGGTCAAAAGAAAAGGAAGGCTAAGGGTGACTCAAAACATGTCTCACAGAACGCAGTCTTCATTTAAAAATAAGCCAGAGCGGCAGGGATCATTGGTAACCTGAACAGGGGCTGATAAGGTCCTCAAGTAGATGAGGGAGTCAGACTGAGGTAGCTGAGGAAGAGAAATGCAGAGTTGAGCATCAGTGCGTCCCTGGATAATCCTGACTATGAGCGGGGGGTAGGGGGGGAGGTGAGAGAATGGTGGTTGGAGGGAGATGGCATGTCAGCACCTGTTTTAACGGGAGAGTTGTGAGCATTGTCAAGAACCACTGGAAAGGATCCAGATGAAAAGTTACACACAGAAGTGAGAAATGGGATAACTGATTTGTAAGTGTCCTGAAAGGGCAGGAGGAGTTAGAATCCCAAAGCCCTGATGGCATGGATGGTTTTATGTAGGAGGAGGACCCGGTCTTCTGTTGTATCTGAAGGGAAGAAGTCTAGAATATAGGTGCAGAGGCAGGCAGGCTTCTGTGCTGGAGTATGAGAAGGAGGGCACTCCATCTCCTAGCTTGTGTTTTTCTTTACAAAACTGGAGGCAGAGGCATCTGCCTCTGGCTGGTAGTGCGAGGGCCCGTTTGTGGTGGGTGCTGATGAATTTACAGGGATAGCAGTCTGCTCGCAGTGCAGGTGCAGGGGAGATGGTCACTGAACCTCATCCAGGGTTGGGTTTTTGCCAGACCAGTGTGGTGACCAGGCAGTGGACGAGGGAGTTTAGGACTGAAGCCAGTGCGTGCCACGGTAAAGGACAGGCCATCGAAGCAGGAGTATGGAGGGACAGGGAGAGAGAGGAAGACTGTGCATAGGGAGAAGGTTGAAGGGCAAGTAGACTGACACAATCTTACTAGAACAGCCGCATTAGAACGAAGAGAATGGTATTCAGAGTGCTGTGCTTGAATTTGTGCTTCAAGGTAGAAGAGATACAGGTACCAAAGTGTGGTCTGAGAGGACTGCAGGGGCCGGAGGTGGTGGTAGAGGGGACCTGACCACTGGAGATGAGGAAGTTCAGGAACAGAAAAACTCTGCTACATTCTTCAAACATAACTAATGACAAAATCTTTCACATGGAATCCTGCATTCTGTGCCCATGTTATGAGAGATAATATCTTAGCTGAGCCCTCAAGACTCGTCAGGGCAAATCTGAAGATATGACCAAGACCACTTTTCATCTTCTTTTCTAAAATCTCTTTTTGATAAAAATACCATGTGTACTAACTATAGATAGAATCAACATCAGCGGAAGCCATAGTAGGATTCATGTCACCTCTTACTGTCCTCGCTTCACACAAACAACAGGTGGAATGGAATGGAATAAAATTGTTAAGATATGTTGAAATCTTTTAAATCTTCCTCTGTTTCTTCCACATTAGAGTAAGTTTTCTCCATATCAGAACAATTTCTGGGGCGCCTAAGTGGCTCAGTCGGTTAAGTGTCTGCCTTCAGCTCAGGTCATGATCCCAAGGGTCCTACATTGGCCCCCTGCTCAGCAGGAGGACTGCTTCTCCCTCTCTTTCTGTCCCTCGCCCCACTCGTTCTCTTTCTCTCAAGTAAATAAATAAAATCTTTAAAAAAAAAAAAAACCCAAAACACAATTTTGGTGAAACACGTCACCAGTCCTATTTTCAGGAGAAAGCTTGAGGTCTGCTATGTGATAGCATGAATTTGTTGGGATAATGAGAAAGAGTTGCCAGTGAATGTTTCTTCATACAGACTCTGCAGTCTTTTAACCACACGATTTCCTGTAAAATAAATCCTGTAATAAAGCCTGCTTCTGTCCCACATCCTCAACCCCCACTTCACAGGTCCACTGCTTCTTCCACTGGTATTACTGATCATCAAATCATGGGCGTTCTGCTTTAAAATTCATACCCCCAGATTGTGCCCAGAAAGAACTGAACACAATTTTGTCCTCTTACTGGAATATTTTTTCTGTTGTTTTGTCTTACTTTTTCTTTCAGTGATGTAATTGGCTATTTATTTTCCTGAATATTGTCTCAGCAACTGGTTTGGTGCAGTTACAAATTTGTGTGTAAGAAAGTGCTATGGGAACATAGTCTCTTTGTCCTACTCTCATTTTTGTGTGATTGTGGATTTCATAATTGGGATTTCTTAGCTTTTAAGAAGGAGTTTGTAAATATGGTGCATGTCTTTAGCTGATTATTTTCAAAATAACCTATGTTTGGGACACCTTTTCTCTAAGTATACATTAATTGACAGATATGTTTTGAAACACATAATCTTATAGATCTGTGTCCTAGGAAATAGACAGGAATAAGTAGGAATAGATAAGAATATGAAATGTATCATATACCCCTTCTCTCTGAGTACCCAAAGTCTAAGTAAATATTTTGGATTCTTTTCCTGCTTTCTTATGGAAATTGCCAATTTTTATCTTTATTTATTTAAAATTTTTAAATTTAAATTCAATTTAATTAACATTTATTATTAGTTTCGGAGGTAGCACCCAGTCTCATTACTTCAAGTGCCCTCCTTAATGCCCATCACCCAATTATCATATCCCCCACCACTTCTCCAGTGACCCTGTTTGTTTCCTATAGATCAGAGTCTCTTATGGTTTACCTCCCTGTTTCCATATTATTTTACTTTTCCTTCCCTTCCCCTGTGTTCATGTTTTGTTTCTTATATTCCACATATGAGTGAAATCATGTCGTATTTGTCTTCCTTTGACTTACTTTGCTTAGCATAATACCCTCTAGTTCCATCACATTGTTGCAAATGGCAAGATTTTCATTCTTTTTGTTGGCTGACTAATATTCCATCACACACACACACACACACACACACACACACACCATCTTCTTTTTCCATTCATCTGTCAATGGACATCTGGGCTCTTTCCATATTTTGGCTATTGTGGACATTGCTGCTGTAAACATTGGGGTTCATTGTCAATTTTCTATTTAGATTTCCTTCATCATATTTGATAAAGTCAGAGGTTAGCCAAGTTAACTAGAGAGAAGTATGTGTCAGTCAGTGGTTCTCACATTTGAGCACACATCTAAATCACCTAGAGGACTCACTAGACTCCAGATTGCTGGACCCAGCTCTAGAGTCACTAATATTAGGTCACTCCACCACTGGGGTGGAGTCTGAAAATTTGTGGATTGTTTTTTACATTTTAAAAATATTTTATTTATTTATTTGAGAGAGCGAGAAAGAGAGAATGCACGAGCACATAAGCCAGGGAAGAGGCAGAGGGAGAGGCAGAAACAGACTCTCCACTGAGCAGGGACCCCAACATGGGGCTTGATCTTGGGATCCTTGGATCATGACTTGAGCCAAAGTCAGACGCCTAACTTACTAAGCCACCCAGGCGTCCTGAAAATTTGCTTTTAGAACACACCTCCAGATGACACTGATGCTGCTGGTGTGGGAAGCGCCCCATGAAATCTGCTGGTATCAATAACGTATGTGTTCTAATGACCTTTTGTTGGGATTGGGTTCTTCGCAGACAGGTGGATAGCTTGAAGCAGAGAATTGCAGGGAAATCTATCCCTACTGAGAAGTTTGCTGTCAGAAAGTCTCGTCGTTACTCTGCCTCGTTGCCTGCACCTGTGAAGCTCATCGTGCCTGCCCTGGTATTTGTCTTTATTTTATTTACTGTTTGTATTTTTTTTTAAAGATTTTATTTATTTATTTGACAGAGAGAGAGATCACAAGTAGGCAGAGAGGCAGGCAGAGAGAGAGAGGGAAGCAGTCTCCCTGCTGAGCAGAGAGCCCAACGCGGGGCTAGATCCCAGGACCCTGAGATCATGACCTGAGCTGAAGGCAGGGGCTTAACCCACTGAGTCACCCAGGTGCCCCTACTATTTGTATTTTAGAAAGAAACATCTAGTCACAGTAGTGGGAAGCACACCTGTGAAGTTCAGCTCAATTTAACGCCATTGCAAGGGTGTTTGTAAGGTGAACATGTATGAATTATTAATAATCAAATAATCATAAAAATTATAGCTAATTTTTTTGACTAGTTGGTATGTTCTAGGCATTATGGTATTTAAGAATATATCATTTGATATTTTTTGAAAAACTATTTAAAAATGTGTATCATTTCATTCTTACAGTTACTCTCTGTGAGTACTTTCTCTCTGTTAACCCCATTTTACAGATAAGGAAATTTAGGGAGAGAGGTGAGTTGGCTTAATTAGAGTTGACTTGAATTCTCACGCAAGCCACTTACATGATTTTACCTTTTCTAGTAGCCACATTAAAAATTAAAAGGTCACAAAATGTAAGAAATCAAAGGAAACATGAAAATAATTTTAGGAATATATTTTGTTTAACCAGATATATGTGAAATGTTTGTTTGAACATGTAACCAGTAAGAACTTAGTGAGATATCTCACATTCCTTTCTATTGTACTGATTATTTGAAGTCCAGTGTGTATTTTACGCTTAGAGCACATCTCCATTTGGAGTAGCCACATTTCCAGTGCTCATGTGCCCTCAGTGCCTGGTGGTTGCTGCATGGGACACAGTGGTGCTGGAGCTCACACCTTCTTTTTTTAAAGATTTATTTATTTATTAGAGCATATGAGAAGGGGGCAGAGGGAGAGGGAGAGAGAATCTCAAGCAGATTCCACGCTCAGCATAGAGCCCAAGGTAGGATTCCATCTCATGACCCTGAGCTCTCACCTGAGCCAAAACCCAGAGTGGGTGCTCACCCGACTGCGCCACCCAGGTGCCCCTGGAGCTCACATTCTTGATCATTATGCTGGTAAGACTAGACATCATGAAAAGCATAATTTCCACGGGAATTTTTTTTCATGAATATTTCCTTCAAAGTACTGAATAGGGGTGCCTGGGTGGCTCAGTTGGTTAAGCTACTGCCTTTGTCTCAGATCATGATCCCAGGATCCTGGGATCAAGTCCTGAATCGGGCTCCTTGCTCAGCGGGGAGCCTGCTTCTCCTTCTGCCTGTTCTGCCTGCTCTGCCTACTCCCCCTGCTTGGGCTCTCTCTCTTTCTCTGACAAATAAATGAAATCTTTTTAAAAATATTTAAAATTACTGAGTGTATTATATTATTCTGGTTCTTTGGGGCTTACATTTTGTAGGTAGCACAGGAAAACCATTAAATGCAAACTGAATGTCTGCTGTCTTCCTTTGGGGTTTCTTGATTATTTATTTATTTATTATTATTTTTTGTGTTTCAGAGTTATTCAGTGATTCCCCTTTGACAGTTTAGTTTCCAGTTTTTACAGTTACAAATATGTTGCAATGAATGTTCTTCTTTTTTTTTTTTTTAAGATTTTATTTATTTATTTGACAGTGAGAGAGAGAGAGCACAAGTAAGGGAAGTAGGCAGAGGGAGAAACAGGCTCCGCACCGAGCAGGGAGCCCAGTGTGGGGCTTGATCCCAAGACCCTGGGGTTGTGACCTGAGCTGAAGGCAGCCGCTTAATGACTGAGCCACCAGGCACCCTGAATATTCTTTTATATTGCTTTTTTTGGGTACATAGTCATATAATTCTCTGAAAAGATTTCTAGAAATGGAATTCCTGGTTGGAGAGTATATGCACTTATTATTTTGACATTACCAAATTGCCCTCCAGAAAGGCTCTACTGGTTTAAATTTTTACCAACAGCATTTCACTATTTTAATTTATATCCCCCTGTTGGTATGGTTGAGTATCTTTTCATATGCTTATTATTTTTATTTCTTCTCTTGTGAGTTGGTCATATACTAATGTAATTTTTCATTAGGTCGTTTATTGTTTTTTCATTGAGTCATAGGAGCTCTTTATATATTCTGTGAGAAAGAAGACTGCAGCCTCTATCAGGTATCCGATAGGAGCTAGCCTATACCCAGGTCCAGGTGTTCTGTACTAAAGATCAGCAGTCTCAGAGAGCACCACTGTCAGACCAGGTTATTTTGTGCCTGTGATGGAATGAGACAAAAATAGCACTCTGTCATCAAATCCGAGCACAGATAAAAACAGGAACACCATGCAAATCACAAAGGTGACCAAACATCCCCCGTCCCCAGCTAACGTGGGAGCCTCTTGCTGTTTCACCAATTACAGCTTTTAGATCCATTCCTGTTGATTTCTGTCAGGTGATTTGCATTGGGAAATTTCTTCTTTGTGTCACAGAACTTTTGTGAAAAGATTTTAAAGCACAATAGCCCCTTCTGTGCCCTAGAACTTAGATGCTGATGTGTACATAACTACATCCTGTTTTGCTCAGTAAGGGTCTTAAGGAAGGACAACTCACTGTACTTCTTTCTACAGGTTTAAAAGTGTAGAATCGGTCTGAATTTGTGGTAACTAGGAATTTCACCAAAATGTCATTTTTATAGAATCTCACATATGAGCTTGCCGTCTTCTGATAAAACAGTCTATCAATAAAAATAAAATTTAAAAGATCATCAGTTAATTCTATTAATTATTGAATCAAGCTCTTACACATTAGCAATAAGAAACTGTTAGATGTAAAAAAAAATTTTTTAGAGTGTTGTGATCTTAGTTTTTAGTGTCATAGAGTAGAGACGACTTTCTGCCACTTGAATATATTTTCCTTATTTCTACTTCTTCCCTGTAAGAAGCTATTCAAACAGTAGCTTTATCATATTTTAAAATTTGTTTATGTCCAAGAAGATACTGATTACCCTGCCTATTTCATACACTTAAAAATATGAACTGTGCTACCAGGAAGTTAGAAAAATATTTTCAAGCAAAAGCATCTTTACTTTTGGTCCAAAAAATTTCTCATCTGTTAGCCTATGAGATGTAATTTTCAATGAGAAATCATTAGTTTACATTTTCAGGGGCTGTCATTCAGCCATATGGCCTTTAAATGATTGTGCTTCCTGCATGTTGGATTGTATCGCTGGACTGTCACATGTTTGTGTGTTTTTTTTTTTTTAAAGATTTTATTTATTTCTTTGTCAGAGAGACAGGCATAGCGAGAGAGGAAACATAAGCAGGGGGAGTGAGAAGGAGAAGCAGACTTCCTGCAGAGCAAGCAGCCCAATGTGGGGCTCGATCCCAGGATGCTGGGACCATGACCTGAGCTGAAAGCAGACACTTAACAACTGAGCCACCCAGGCACCCCCTGTCACATGTTTTTAATGGGGTAAAAGAACCATTAAAATACTTTCTATATTCATTTCCAGTGAAGTCCTTGGGAACATTTTATGTACATAACTGGCAGATATTTTAAAAATGTTTCCCTTTACTTAAAAGTAATGACAAAAATTTATATCATATACAACTGTTCATAGTATCAGTTAAAAATATTTATTTCTGTATTTGTAACCCATTATCTTCCAAAAGGATTGAATACTAGTAGACGCTTAAATGAATGAGTATATTTTTCAGTAAAAACATAATATACTGTATATATTGAATTACTTCATGATATAAAAGGCAAAAGGCATATAATAAAATGAGAAATAAAATAAAATGAGAAAAGGGGAAATTATAATTACTACACTCCAAATGAAGAAAGCTAAGGAAAGTGATGTCTGGATGTTACCTTGAGATCTGTAGCAACCAAGAGATTGGTTTCATTATTGTAAAGGACATTGAATAACCTCACACAATTGCAAATGGCTTTTCATTCTTCCTTGTTAGGAAATGATGTATGTCTGGAACGGTTTTCCAATAGTGAGCAAGAGAAAAGACCTTTCCGAAAATCTGTTGGTCACTGTCGAAAAGGCTGAAGCTACTTTACAAAATGAAAGTAAGTATGAAAAGTAAAATCCTGAAAATCTTTTTTATTACCTCCTGCCCTTTCCCTGTGTCTATCTGCCCATGTTCATTTGTGTGTATCACAAGGACAAAGCTCTTGGGCTGCAAGGATCTGGGTGATTGTGATCAGAAGAAGGGAGGAATGACACGTGCTGCCACATGGACAAGTTTGGGGACATGAGGCTATGTGAAAGATGCTCATTGCAGAAGACAGCATATCGCATGGTTCCATTTAAATGAGATACTGAGAATAGGTAAATCTATAAAGACAGAAAGTAGACTAGTGATTTTATAACGAGGGATGGAAGAACTGGAGTCTGCGTGTGATAGTTTTTAAAGGGTGTATGGTATTTCCTTTTGGAGTGTTGAGAATGTTCTAAGACCGTAGTATTGGTTGTACAACTCTATAGCATACTCAAGACCAGTGAAGTGTACTTCAAGTGGGTGAATTGTATGGTAGGTGAATTATATCTGAATAAGTCTGTCGTTGAGACAGATGAACAATCAGTCGAGTTTTAGAGTGCATTTCTGGTTTTTTATTTGTGACTCATTCCATCCCCTCTTTTGTTCAGTAATGACTATTATGCTTTTGTAGACACAGAAGATTGTTTTCAAGTTGAAATTTTATCACGATTTAATTTTTTTACTCATTACTGTTGGTTGTCCTAGAGGCCCCTCTCCAGTTTACTGGAAGCTCCGTTTCCTGGAAGCAGCTGGCATAGTAGAAGGAAAAAACAGGCCGTCTGGGTTTACAGTCCCAGCTTTGCAGCTGTGAGACTCTGGGAAACATACCTCATCATTTCTGGATATCATGAGATGATGATATCCAAAAATACACAGATAGTATCCAAAGTTTTCTTGATCTGACATTGTCTAATTCTCTAGCTTAAATAGAGGATTTATCTTTGACAAATGATGCTATAGATGCTAGCCTTTGTAGTATTCCTTTTCAACTTCCCAATCATTTAAGTCTTATCCTTTGGAATGTTCTAACCACAGAAGTAAAATGAAAACTTCTATGGTGACAAACATGGTAAAGGGCATAGAAGTTCAGGTAAAGGCAAAGAAAATTGTAACAGTTAACTCATGTGTTTTTTTTTTTTTTTAAGATTTTATTTATTTATTTATTTGACAGACAGAGATCACAAGTAGGCAGAGAAGCAGGCAGAGAGAGAGAAGGAAACAGGCTCTCCGCAGAGCGGAGAGCCCGATTCGGGGCTCGATCCCAGGACCCTGGGATCATGACTTGGGCCGAAGGCAGAGGCTTAACCCACTGAGCCACCCAGGCGCCCCTAACTCATGTGTTTTAACTGGAAAAAGATGGGCACTGATGGAGTGGCTAGCCCAATATTCAATATGTTCTCCACATGGGAAATTAAATACTGAACATAGCTCCAGGGATGAGGGACCTCATTTGTATTTAGAGCTGTAGAATGAGGCTAAAATGTTAAATGACATTTTCCTTTATAATTATTGTTAAAAAATTAAGCATATAATTGATACATGTAGGTGAAAGAAATTACCCATGTTTTTGCTGTTATAATACAATTAATTTAGAATATTTGTTTGCTCCATCCTAGCCTTATTTTTACAGTTATAATCATAGTGTACCTGGACATACACTAGACTACTTTTTTTTTTTCACTTGATATATCATACACTTTTTTTATTGAAGTATAATTGACATATAACATTATGTTAGTTTCATGTGTATACAATAAAGATTCAGTGGACTCTCTAATGATCAGCACAATAAATCTAGTTAACATACATGACCATACATGTTACAAAGTTTTTTTCATGTGTTCGAACTTTTAAGATCTGCCCTTTTAGCAACTTTCAAATATAAAGTACAGTATTATTTTTTTAATTAAGGATTAATTAATTAACTTATTTATTTGACAGAGAGAGAGAGAGATCACAAGAATGCAGAGAGGCAGGCAGAGAGAGAGGGGGAAGCAGGCTCACCACTGAGCAGAGAGCCCGATGCAGGGCTCAATCCCAGGCAGAGGCTTAACCCACTGAGCCACCCAGGTGCCCCTGAAGCACAGTATTATTAACTATAATCACCATGCTGTACATTATATCCCCATGATTTATTTTATAATGGGAAGTTTATACTTTTGACTCTCTTAACCCATTTCTTCTACCTCCCATGCCCCACCCCCAGCAACCACGGATTTATGAGCTTGATTTTTTTGTTTTGTTCCGTTTTAGATTTCACATAAGTGAAAGTATGGTATTTCTCTTTTGCTGTCTGACTTATTTCATTACTTAGCATAATGCCCTCAAGGTCAATCCATGTTGTTGCAAAGCTGCAAGATTTTATTTTTTATGGCTGAATAATATTCTATGGTATGTATCTACTACATACAGAAGATGTAGTATATATTTTCTTTATCCATTCATCCGCTTATGGCTTCCATATCTGGGCTATTGTAAATAATGCTGTGATGAACATGGGGGTGCATATATCTTTTCGAGTTGGTGTTTTCATTTTCTTTGGATAAATACCTAGAGGTGGAATTTCTAGATCACATGGTAGTTCTATTTTTATCATAGACTTTTAAATTGTTGCTAAATGGCTCATAATAATTTCGAAAGCTTCATAGCACTCCATGGAGCTAATGTATCATAATTTAATCAACACATTCAGTGTTGTTGGGCATTTAGGCTGCTTTCCATATTTAAAATAATTCTAGTTTTAGATTACCATCAATAAGGAGAAGAAATATAAAAGAATGAAAACTGAATCAGTGGCCTTAGTTGCTAATAAGGTCAAGGTTTCAGATAGGATACCTGAAGAAGTCAATAGAACAAAAAGCAATGATGTTCTGAGGCCACAGATCAACACCCCCGCCTCCCAGATCTCCTAAATAACCATTCTGTGAATATAAACTGGTAATCACAGGGAGAACAAGTAAATGGAATATTCTACTTTATTATTAAAAAAAGTCACCTGCAAAGGTCATCTATTGATGGAGGGTGGGCAATGTCCATCTCCCATATTAAAGGCAGCATTTTTATAAAAGAACCATGGTTCCTTTTCTCTCCTTTTCCCTCCCCCTTCCAGAAAAGTATTAAACCTCAGCCCCTATGAACTGGGGCTTAGGTAGAGTAGCTAAAATATTGAGGTATTTATCTTCATGGACTGATAATTCTCTGTGATTTATGGGCACCAGGGAAACAAGTGGATGAAAAGTCTCAAGAAACTGAAATGAAAGAGAAATCCAAAGTTCGTACTATTTAACAGAGACCAAAGGAGTGTATGTATGAGTACAGACTTACAGACTCACTATATGGACAGTTTAGACTTTCTTTGTATGTTCTAGACGGTCCATTATTGATATATTATCTACATAGTTTCTACATACAAAGTTGCATTAAGCTTCTTTATGATTCCTTTTACAATTAAATATTTTTAATTTTTAAAAATTATTTTATTTTATTTACTTATTTATTTTTTTTGTGGAGCCCTGAGTGGGGCTTGAACTCATGACCGTGAAACCAGGACCTGAGCTGAGATCAAAAGTCGGACGCTTAACTGACTGAGCCACCCAGGTGCCCCTCTTCTTAATTTTAATTGTAGTTAAAATTATATATAACACAAAATTTACCACATGATCCATTCTTAACTATACAGTTTGGTAATGTTAGCTATATTCACATAGCTGTGCAACCAGTCTCCAGTACTTTGCCATACCCATTCAAAATAGCTCTCCATTTCCCTCTCCCCACTGCCTCTGGCAGCCATAGTACTATTTTTTTGTTACTATGAATGTGACTACATTAGGTTGCTCATATGAGTGGAATCCTACATGATTTGTCCTTTTGGGACTGCTTATTTTGCTTTGCATAATGGTGCCTCAGGGTATGGGGCCCCTGGGTGACTCAGTGGGTTAAGTGTCTGCCTTCAGCTTAGGCCATGATCCTGGGGTCCTGGGATCGAGTCCATTGGGTTCCCTGCTCAGTAGGGAGTTTACTTCTCCCTCTCCTTCTGCTGCTCCCCCTGCTTGTGCTTTCCTTCTCTCTGTCAAATAAATAAAATCTTAAAAAAAAAAAATGGCCTCAGGGTATATCCATGTTGTAGCATATATGAGAATTTCCCTTTTTAAGGCTGTATAATATTTCATTGAAAGTATAGATCATGTTTTTCTTTTCCATTTATCCACTTGCACATTTGAGTTGCTTCCGCTTTTTGGCTATTGCAAATAATACTTCTGTGAACATGGGTATGTAAATTTTTTTTTGAGATTGTTCTCAGTTCTTTTGTTTATTTTTAAAGGTTTTGTTTATTTATTTGAAAGACAGAGAGTACAAGCAGGGGGAGGGGTAGAGGGAGAAGCAGACTACCCGCTGAGCAGGGAGCCTGACAATACCGGACTCCATCCCAGGACCCCAGGACCATGACCCGAGCCGAAGGCAGATGCTTAACTGACTGGGCCAGCCAGGCGCCATGCTTTCGGTTCTTTGAGATCTGTTCCCAGAAGTAGAACTGCTGGGTCATGTGGCGTTTCTCTTTTAAGTTTTTTTGAGGAACTGCCATACTATTTTCTATAGCGGCTACACCATTTTATATTCCCTCCAGCAGTGCACAAGGTTCTAATTTCTCTGTATCTCCATCAGTATTTGTAATATCCTAGGGTTTTTTTGGTTATTGTGGCTTGTTTGTTTGTTTGTTTTTGTAGTAGCCATTCTGATGGATGTGAGATGATCTTTACTATTTTCAGTGTGAAGCTCCTTCAAAAAGGAAAAAAGATTTCAGTTTGATTTGATTGTAAAGTCGACATAAAGTTACATCATTTTGAAATTTAGATGAAATGAAACTCCATAAATGTTTACTTTAAAAAATTAGATTTCACAAAATGCACCTTTATAAAATTTATCTGGGCTTTTAAACAAATTTTAGTATTCATTTTTGTTCAACTACTTTGGCTATGTTTTATTAACTTGCTCATTTGAAAACTCATAGATTTTCTGTACTAGAGATAGAATTGTGATAGGCTGAGAAAACATTGTTCCTGCCAGTAGGGGAATTATCTATGATTAAAACCCACATATCCAAAAACCAGATGGGAAAATGGATATGTTTTTTAATAAGTGGATAATAAAAACTGAGAGGTGAAGGAAAACCTCTCTTTATTAAATGAAAACATTGGTAGAGTACCCCCCCCAAAAAAACCTGGATCATCTTGTTCCTTGTGTTTTTCTACAGCTCTAAGGGCTTTGGTTCAGTTGAATGAATTCTGACATTTGGATGTCTATCCTTTGTAGTATAGACTAATGTTTACCGCCACCAGAGAGTGGGGCCTTTGTATATTAAGAAGTCTTGGGGGACCACTGGATTGTTCTCTATTTGAACAGGCTCTTCAGCCTTTACCTCGAAGTTTAGTTTGTCCCATTATTGGTTGGGGGGGGGATGTAAAGTTGTAATATATGTATCAGACTATGGATATACAGTGCAATAGAGGCTTAAAAAACAGACTGCTCTCTCCAGTGGTCTGGAGAGGGTATTCTTACTTCCTGAATTTTTAATGGGTAGGAAGCCATCTGCTTCCTTCTTCTTTTAATGATCTATCGAGATGATCAGCTTAGAGATATCTAAGGGAGGGGCTGGGGAAAGCTCAGACAGACAGATGCACTGTACTTCATACAATTCTATTTTTGTCTGTATTCCCTCCGGGTTAAAAAAATATTAATAATAAAAGTTTTCTGAAGATTTTGTACACAAAATTTATGATAATCTCTACCAGGTCCATTGCTCTATGCAGAAAAATGACCAGATCCCCATCTTGGCTCCCTCCCTCCCCTCAGTAATGAGCTTTTAGTAATTAAGCTCTTATCTTTCAGAGCAAGGGGGAAAAAATCCAAAACTGAAAAAATGAAATGAAGTTGTAACCCCGAGGTGACTCCAGCCACTACCCCCTTTCCCCTAGTATTGGGAGTTGAATGTATTTTCCCTTCTTCTCCCCTTAGCAAGTGTCTCTAAAGTAAAAGAAGGTAGAAGATACAGTTGGTGTTCTGCTCTGACAATGCGATTATGAAAGGGCCTTTAGGGATACAAAGGGAAGGATACAGTTTAATAAGAGAAGAACACTTGGTGTGATATGCCTGGAGTCAGTGTCTGCCACTAATTCCATTAGTGTTTCATTTGAAATCTAACTAAACTCAACATGTAGCCAGAAGTTGGTACAATAGATCTTCTCTGACTCTTCATTGCAGTTAATTTGCTTTGTGAAATTCTATAGCAAATGCAATCAGAGTTACATAAAAGGGAAAATGCTACTTTATAGCTTTTCACTTTCTAAATCTGTTTTTTAATTTTTCCTTTGTTGCATTGCAGCTAGTTTCTAAGAAGTTCATTGTGGATATTTTTGTAGTTTGGGCTTCAAACTTTCTTTTTCCTCAGCCTACCCTCTGTTTTATTAAGTTAAGCAGATCTTTTGTGATGAAAATGTGCTTTGGCAGCATTGTTGTATAATTTTCTTGGAATGTAAAATGGAAATTGTGTGTTGAAATGTTCATCTGTGAACTCACCCAGGAGGTTGAGAATCATGTTAAAGAATTCAGATTTTAAGGGAAAGTAATCATCTGACAGAGAATACTCTGTGGTCTGAGGAAATGATGGTTTGGCTAAGCTTTGGAGGAAGGTGGTGTCTTCGGACCCATTTTCATATCCTTAACTCATGATCTAAATAAAAGCTAAGTGCAGATTTACTGGTATTTTAATTTTCCATAGTTTATGTCTGTTCCTTAGCAAAACCATCATTCACTGAGCACCAGAAGTTTATGGTAAGACAAATTGTCATAAAATGCTGATATAGAAATCAATAGAATGCACAAAAATGATATTAAAAACTAGCATCCAGTACGGACCCTAAGGGTTTGGTTCTAGGCCTGGAAAGATATTTCAGTGAACATCCATGATTAGAAACATAGATATATTTGGGGGGGGGAGGGGCAGCAGGGCTGAAAAATGGTAACGTGATATTGATGTCCATGATTTTTCCTGGTGAACGAGCTATCAGAGCTTGGAAGTGAGAGGTGAATATCAGCTGTTTTTAGCCCCTTAGGAGTAAAGTGATCCCCTTCCGTTGGTTAAGTGGTATCATTAACCTCCCATAAACAAGCAGTTTACTAATGCAAACACTGGCATGTGTTAATAGTGATTTCTGAGGTTTGTACTGAAAGCAGGGGAATCTGATGGAATATGAGGACTCCCAGGCCTCAGTGGTCTGGTTTACTAGCCACCCCCCAACCCAACACCCTGTATTGTCACAGCCTGAAATGTATGAATTATCCGTCTGTCTTGGGAATGACTTAGTTTCAGTCACTTGTAAAAGCACCCAGATTCAAAAGTGGTAGATGGGAAATGTCTACCTTTTTTAGGTTGCTGTCACACAGGGTATGGTTGCTTTTGCTTAAATAGTCCATAGCCTTGGGCTGTAGAAGGCAGAGTCATTTTCGAAAGGGAAAACGTGCTAAAGAAAACCCTTTCCGTTAGCCTCAAGCACTTGCAAGTTTGTGAGGATTTTAGGTACCTTGCATGTACTTAGGGAACCATTTTGTCTAATTTTATGACAGAATTTTTCCCCCCAAAAGAACAAAACCTGGGAGACTTGATAAGTTGTAAAACAGAATGGTCTGAAGAGGGTATTCTTACTTCCTGAATTTTTAATGGGTAGGAAGCCATCTGCTTCTCCATATGGACGTGTTATCCTCTCCGGTGCGAAGCCAGCAGAGTTAGATGCCAGAACCACAGGGGGAGGCCGCCTTCTTGCTCCTCACTGCTTTACCTCTTATAGAATTAATACAACTCTTATTTTATTTAGAGTTCAGATTTCCTACTCTCACACCTAAGACCACCTAACTCGGAGACTGAGCCCTGAGCACCTGAAGAGCGATTTTCAAGTGGATAGAGTGGCAGCCCTTAGTCAAATGGTGTATTGAGGTAGTAAGCTGCCTCTTCTTTTGATTTAAAATATTTTCATTGTGTTTTCTTAAGGGAAACCTAATAAATGCTAGAAATATTTTCCTTATTTCTCAGCGATCCCTCTGAAACCTCATAGCTATTCTTTGTCCCTCTTCCTTGGGATGTTTTAAAGCGATTTTCCTTTTGTGTGTGTTTTCTCTTTGCCTGGCTTTAGACATGAGTGACTACTCTGTGGACGATGAGTGTCTGGTAAAGCTGCTGAAAGGGTGTTGCCTGAAGAACCTGCAGCGGCCCTTGCAAGCCGAGCTGTGCTTCAATCACGTCATCCAAAGGTACAGACAAATGAGGAGGCCGAGCTGAGTGCAAACTGCGGTTCCCAGGGAACTGCTGTGAGAAAGCGACATGTTTTCTCCCACAGCGAGTGTTCCAGGGTTACCGGGAAGAGAATCCAGTAGCTCTCTCATTGTCCTTCGAGAGCAGACTCAGAGCCCAAGTAGAAGATGGCTTTATGCATTTCTACATAGTGTTTAAGGGGAATGCTAAGTTCCACAAAATCTAGACACTAGCTTAGATGAGAATGTAGAGGACGGGTGAGGACTGGTGTCCTTATAAAGAGGAAAGGGACCTATTTCCCAAATAGGTAATCTACTGTGTTATTAGTAAACATGTTAAAGAAGTAGCCATTGATTAAAAAAAAAAAGAAGAAGTAGCCATGGTGTTTGGTTTTACTGGTGTTTCTGGAAGGATCGAAAGGATGACCCATTTGTGCTACATGTTAACGTTTATCGAATCTACAGTGAATTGTTTGCTCATGTGTTTTGTGATTTTGGACCGTGAGCTCCCCTTCCTTGGAGTCTTATCTTGAGACATCTGTGAGGTTAGGCTGGAAGAAGAGTCTCTAAAGTGATTTTGCTTTTATTTCTGCCAGTTTGTGTTAATGGCATTACTGAGAGGTCCTTGGATCTTTTGGGCCATGTAAATTCGTAAATTTGAATTGCAAATTCATATGAGGTCAGGTCTGTTGGTTATTAATTTCCCAAAGAATTTTTTTATTGTCTGTGTTTTTTTCCTTCCAACCTGGACCCAGATTGAGGAGCCAACTGCCCTTGTCTTCCTCCTATGCCAGGGAGTGGGTTTTTCCAATCCGTCCTCCCCCTGTTGGAGAATGGCCCCAGGTTTATATGGAGGTCTCAGGCTCTACTCTTCTGTGGACTCAAGGCCTCCGCTGCGTGGACACTGAGATAGAAAGTCCTGGTTGACTCAGGTCGTAGCAGATCCCAGGGCTGCTTTGACGTCATCCACACCCTTAGAGTTCTGCCTTTGTTTTCAGTTTGAGAGTTTTTCTTATGTTCTTGTGAGCTGAATTATGCATTTGGAAGTGCGTTACTTATATATATATTTTATTGCTTCTTGATGTTTTATGGTCAGATTTCATACTATTGCTGAAAACAGAAGTGTCGACCACTTATTTATGGACTTTTATTTTAGCCTTGTAAGACTTAACATATAAAGTAAAACAGTGTTCTAATTTCTAAATGGAGTCATTTTCTGAACATACTCATTTTTTTTACGGGGATGATGTTGTCCTTTCCAGGGTTAATCTTTGAAGATCTTGCATCATTCATCTTCCTAAGGGGTGTAAATAATGCTCAGGACTGGATTTAGATTAAAGAATAAAATAAAAGAGGAATATATTCAAAACAAACTATTTATTGCCATCGTTTATTAGATCCCTCAGCTGTATAATGACAGTTCTCTCTGGTGATAGGCTTAGTGGTGCACCTGTTTTCTGCAGAATGGGGAAAGTACATACTTTGAAAAAGAATGATTTGTTTCTTGTTTTGTTAGGACTTAATTGCTTTCCGTTTACTCTTTTAGTGAAAAGCTACTGAAGTATGACCACTACCTAGTGCCATTTACTCTGTTTGAGTTGGCCTTTTTGTACAAAAGCCAAGGGGAAATTGACAAGGCCATAAAGACCCTAGAAACTGCAAGGTAAGTGGTAATGGCAGCTTTTCCTGCTTGCTCTGAAGTCAGGAACATTGACACTGGTATAACCACAGCAGTAATTTTATATACTTAGAAGTTAAAACATGAATGAAAAATGAATAATAATGTTATGCTCATAACTTTTGCTCTAGTTGTGCTATTTCCAACCTTTTCAATGGCTGACACCCTGTGACTGTTTACAAGTGTTGTGATTGCTGGCATCGCTATGCCAGATTTTTAACCTGTTCTTTTCTGCATTGGGGTTGGCGGATGTTTTCTATAAAGGGTCAGATAGTAAGTATTTCTAGTTTTACAAGCACAAGGTCTCATTGCAACTTCTGATTGTACTGAAAGCAGCCACAGAAGACAATATGTAAATAAATGGTTGTCTTTGGACTTGGCCATTATTTGGGTCATAATTTGCTGACCCTTGGTGTCTTCAATCACATCTCTCATTTCCTTCAAGAGCCGCTGATTGGAAGAAGCCCTCTGTATATTTCTCTAGCTCTCTTTTCTTTCGGTCTAGTGTAGTAATTCTGAAGCATTTTTATTTCTGCTAGACAATGGCTCTCAGACTTGTGATCATGGCTCACTGTGGTCTGTTTGCACTGAATACTTGTTACAGTAGAGAAAGAATGAGATAATAGCTTTAAGCCATAAATAGCTTAGTGATTCATTGGTTTGTTCATTTACTCAAAATCAGCAAGTATTCACTGAGCACTTATTGTGTGCCAGACAATTGTTAAGGCTCTAGACAGACATCTGTACATAAACAGGCAGCGTTTCCTCTTGCTTAGTTAGGGAGAGGTGTTGAATAAGCTGACAAGTGGGAGAACCAGCAATGGTATATGCTTTGCTGAAATTTCTAATATGATACAGAGTCCTTGGGTATTACCTTAGATTGGGTTGAGTCTGGAAGGTTTCCATGAGGAGATGATATTGTAGCTGAGATTTACATATTTAAAGCCAATCTTGAGATAATCAGTCACCAAAAGACTGGGGGGGAAGCATTCCTGGTGGAAGTCACAGCTAGGAAACCTCTAAACTGGGCGGTTGAGCCACTAGATAGTACGTGATGCTCGTCACTGAAATGGGTTTTGCTTAGAAGAGCAGGTTCCAGGAAGGGAGAAAACATACTCTGTTTAGGACCATGGGATTTTGAGGTGCTTATTGGGTGTCCATGTGGAGATGGGGACTTGGCAGTCAAATATACAAGCATGGAGTTCAGTGGAAACATCAAGGCTGAATGTAGAGATTTCGAAGTCACCTGCACAGAGACAGTGGTATTTAAAGTCATGACACTTGAAGTGATTCTGGGAAAATAATACAACGAGAGAAAGAGGTCCAGCCCAGAGCCTTGGGATATCCCATCCTTTTAGAATGAAACAATAAGATTAAGAAGAAATGGCCAGCGAGTTAGGAAGACATCCAGGAAAGCAAAGTGAACAAAGTGTTTCAAAGAGAAGAGAGTGATCATTTTTGAGGATAGCTACTGAGAGGTCAAGCAAGGTGTGTCCAGAGAAATGCTGCTGAACTTGGCAGCATGAAGATCCTCAGTGACTTTGACCCATGAGGGGGGAAAATGGAGTCAGCTACTTCTGGCAAATTTTCAGGATGTTTTGCTGTGAATAAAGCCTAGTAATGGGAAAGAAGCTTCAGGGTATCATGGAGTGGAGAGAGGCTGCTGCTGCTGAGTTTTTTTAAAAGGGTGATATCAGAGTGAGTCACTTTTAAAGCTAATTCTGTTCAGAGTGAGAATGACTCATATTTGAACTGACATGTATGTACCTTCAGATCTAGCTATTGGAAAATTAGGGATTCTCATTACTGTTGTTTGCAGTATTGATTGTTTAGACCTACTTGGTGTTATCTCAGCAATGTACAATAAAACAAATTTATAATGATGAAAATAAAAGACTGGTAATTCACTACAAAAATAGAAGACCATCAGTGGTCAAAAGTCACCACGAACTCAAGCCAGTGCTAATGAAGCCACCAGAAACAGACTTCCCATAATTTCAAGATGTTCAGTTGTCTGCACCTTCCTTTATGCAGTTGGAGCTTCACAAAATCATGAAAACTAGTGGCCAGGCATTTAGGAAAATACTCAGTTACATCCTTTGGTAACTCATAAGGTGTATAATAACCCTCGTCAAGGTTACCATTGAGTAGCTTTTAGATCTCTGTAAGATGAAGAGCTGTAGAAGGAAAGCATTGCCCTTGCAAAGAAAGGAGTTACAGTTCACCCACGGGCCAAGGCAGCATGTGAACGCAGGAGCCCAAAGTCAAAGCCATTCCATTCTGCTGATTCTTAACAATTCTAGCAGACAGAAGTGAACATGGATGATCTAAGTAAAAATTTTAATCTGTGATTTCTATGGCCCCTTCTGACATTGTCCCACAACTGTTGGCCAAGCCATTGATATTTGCTTGTTAGAATCGGAGTAAATAATTTTGGTGTCACCATGTAATCCTGCTTTCTTTGTTGTAGTTGTTTCATGAGGTTTCAGCATGATTTCTTTGTGTGGAGGGGGCGGTGATTGATCATGTTCACGTGAAGCTGCTTTAAAATTCCTGGTTTAGGAAAGGAAGTCAGCTATTTAGGAAGAGTTCCCAAAATTTGTTGAAACCCTCTTCATAAGCTTGTAGCTGTGTTTGTGAATGGCTTGGTCATTAAATAGGAACTTGCTACTCAAAGTATGACTTTCAAATCCCTGCCAGGGAGCTTCTAGAAGTATAGAGTATTGTCATCCTCCTTCGCTCACAGGATCAGAATCTACATTTTAACAAGATCTGCTGTTAATGCATATTCACGTTTGGAAGCAAATAAGGAATGAAGATGAGAAGAAGGGGAGGTGGTGGTGTTGCCCTTGGATACGAAGAGATTTTTGACATTACAATTTCACTGTTATTTTCTTTAGAAACAACTACAAAGATTACTCCATGGAGTCCAGGCTACACTTCCGAATTCAGGCAGCGCTTCACCTCTGGAAAAAAACTTCCTCTGATTGATCAGAACATGAAGGATGGAATTTTCCCTAAATTAGCACCAATATTTGCTATAGATTAGACCTTGTATTAAAGTGGAAACTGGTCTTGTGAATGAGAGACAAAAAACTAATTTTATTGTCAATATTTTTTATCATCTGTGTGGTTTATTGTTGGTCTGCGTAAATGTTTTTTTTTTCTTGTGAAACAATGTTCAATGTTCAGTACTATCTAGAAAATTCTTATATTTTGCCTCTCCAAAAAGAATTTCATATTAGATTTGAATTGGAGAGTGAAGAAGTCTTTTAAAGGACTCACAGGTACAACAAAGTCTGATTAGATTATTTATTTTTTTAATGTGGAAATTAATGTTTAAGTAACAAATGGCTGATAAATTGAGCCACTTTTAGATTTGTTGGTTAGAGATATTTTGTTGTCTACTATTTAAATTTAAGAGGGGAAATAAAAATCACCTACATTCAAAATAGATTAACAATAACTTGAAGTCTCCTGAAAGAGACAGGCAGTGGGTGTGAATAGGGACAGGATGATGTCCTTAACGGGTTGAAGAGAATCATATCTACAAAGATGGTGAAATTTTAGGTTTTGGGTTTTTTTTAATTCTTCATGTAAGTTAAAGGTGGTGACATTTTTGAGCAACTAGACTTTTTTTGAATGTACTGAAGTCTATTATAAAAACAAAACTCAAAAAACTGTCTAAAGGGAAGAAAAAGTCCTATTTTAGAAATTATCCTCAGCCTTAGCCATGAGAGTCTAAAATACCTATGTTGATTATTTTTTTTATAGGAAGCAAAATTCCTGCTGCTTTAAATATGTAAAATATCAATAATTTTTATACTCATGATGTTGGTGAGTAAGATCTAATTTTCTAATCTCTCTATCTAGCACTGTGATGGTTCCTTGTAGATATCTGGACCATGCGTCGTCCTTTATCTGGGAAACCCAATCAGGGAAGAATGTGGGGAGAGCCTGGCTCTGCTACTTCATAGCAGTTACTGGGGTGACCTTTAGAGAGCCCCCTGCTCTTTGCAGCAGCATATTGTCCTCATCTGTGAAATGGAAAAAGAACAGATGACTTTTCAAGGTCTCTTTCAGTTTTGTAACTGTGAGTCTGTGTATTAGGCATTTTCAGCAAAAGTGTCAAACTGTTTAACCCAACCAGTACCACAAAGTGCATGTCTTATTCTACAATCTTGTCTACTCCCAGTCCTCCCGTGTGTTGGAGTTAATGACAGGATTGCATTCAGGGTGAGGAAAAATAATTCATGGATCTATAAATCAGGGTGTGGTCCTATTTCATTCCATTTTGAAGAGTAACTTATCATGGAAACTTATGCAGTTTAACAGAACAGCCCCAGATTGGGAGTCTGGAGCCCACCTCTGCTAGTCAGTAGTTCCTTGATGTGGTGTAAGATCCTTCATTATTTCTGTGACTCCATTCCCCTCCCACTGCCCCCCAGGGTGGGGGGTAGGGGAGGAGACAACACACCACTTGGTGCTCGTGAGGAATCAGTTAGATAATCCCTGTGATAGCTTTTGGTAAACTGTAAAAGGCTATGTGAATATATGAGTGCTGTAATAATTATGGTTTTTATGTGCTGATTACAATACCAATACAAAAATATTGGCTGAGTTGTGGTCTCTGATGTAAAATGACAGAAGTGCAGAAATTCCAACACTTCTAAACTTATTCTTGTGTTTGGCACTGACAATAAGCCAGATTATGAATTTGTTCCTTACTGTTCATTCCCTGCTTTGCGAGTCTGTACCTGGCAGAAGATATTTTGGTCTTGTTTTCTTTAAGGTACTAATTCTTGACCAATACTGAGGATATGTTTCCAGTGGGAGATGATTAATACAACTTGAGTTCCTTCAGACAGCATGGGGGAAGCTCTCACTATGTGCTAATCATATGAATTACATAGCTTTATTTTAGGTTCAGACAAGAGGAAATAAAATGAACCATTATTAAATCACCAGTGGAAATATATTTGATAATTATTTTGTATACAACTTGAAAAATAGTTTTTAAATGCCTTAGAAGAGCTTTGGTAGCATTACTTTTTCAAAATATAAAGACCCATATTGTTTTTGTGAGAAGCTGCAGGTCAGAGTGAAAGTCAGTCAAAACTTCTCTTTCTGGTATAATTTGAAAACAATATGAGGTATAGTGGTTATTTTTTTTTTTTTAATTTTATTTTAACTCTGTGTTACCAAACAAATATAAAAGAAATTCCTATGTCTCGTTAAACTTTTTCCTTTATTTTTCTTATTTTATTTTTCTTTTTATTTCCTATTCTTTGTATTTAAATTCAGTTAACCAACATAGAGAACGTCATTAGTTTATATGTGGTTCAATAATTTATCAGTTGCATGTAACACCCACTGCCCATCACCCAGTTACCCCACCCCCTCATCCATCTCCCCTCCAGCAACCCTCAGTTTCATTCCTGTAGTTAAGAATCTCTCATGGTTTGTCTCCATCTCTCATTTCTTCCCATTCAGTTTTCCCTCCCTTCCCCTTTGATCCTCTGTGCTGTTTCTTACCTTCCTCATGTGAGTGAAACCATATGATAATCATCTTTCTCTGATTGTCCTGTTCTCTTTGTAATTACCTGATAATATGGATAATCATCCATTGTCTTTCAGTGTTTAATTGTTGTAAGATCATTAACACTACAAATATTTCTCTGTTTCCAGCCCTCTTCATGATACCCTGGTGGCACAAGTTTCATGTGGCATCATCTAATACTGCTTTTTGGGAGTTCCTTTGGATTCAGGGTGCTTTGTGAAGAATGAGTGCTGAAGTGACAATATTTTATCTAATGTTTTGAGGGGCATATGTGATGGGTTTGGGCTGCCAATGTGTCTGACAGTTTGTGCAATTTGTGTCATTTTTGGTAGAATTTTCTTTTCTTTCTTTCTTTCTTTTTTTTCTAAATGCAGAGCCGGGGTTCTGATTAGTGCTGTATAAATTTTAAGACTCAAGCAGAGGTTCTGCTTTGTAGGATCAGTAACAAGGAAGGCATGACTTCTGCTTGATAATTAATGGAAGGTTGACTACATCAACTCCTATATGAACATATATTTTAATGTTTCTGTGCTTCTTCTGGATACAAGAAGGTCTCAAGTCACATAGGAAAAGGAAGAGCACTGATTCTGTTTCCTCAGCAAGTGGGTAGAAGCTATAGGGAGGTGAATTTCAAATTAGCGTCAAGGAAGATTTTTAATCATTGAAGCTGTCTAAGAGTATAGCTATCTCTTTGGCAAAGCAGGCAGGTTAGCAGAGCTATGTGACTGTCATTCCTACCTGGCCTGGGAACTTATAGTTGAACTTTGAGGTCACTTTCTGAGTCTTTGATAAGGGCTCATGTGTATAAAGGTTCCCCCCTTTTGAAGACAAGTTGAGTGTTTCTTTTGAAGCACTAAATGTAGTTACATTGTGATAGTTCCTAATAGTTCCTATGATCATTATGCTTCTATTTCTCATCCTTTCTTTATTTTACATTTTTTTAAAGAGATCTTATTTATTTATTTGACAGAGTGAGAGTGAGAGCACAATCTGGGCTACAGAGGGAGAGGGAGAAGCAGGCTTTCTGCTGAGAAGGGAGCCCGATGAGGGGCTCAATCCCAGGACCCTGGGATCATGACCTCAGCCAGAAGGCAGCATCTTAACCCACTGAACCCCCCAGGTGCCCCTCATCCTTCCTTTAAAGTGACTGAAAATAATAATTGGAAAGGTCTTTGTGACTAACTGGAAAAAAAGTTTGGTATTACTCTGATTAATTCTTCATTGACTTTTCTTTTTACATATTTCTATTTTTCTCCTATTCTCTCCATCCTTATAAATCATAAATTCAAAAGCACTTAGTTAAAATGAGTTAATGAAGACTCTAGTGATTGTTTAGATGCCCTAAGATTTTGTGATTCATAGGGCCTAGAAAGGGTCTTGGGAAAGTATCTCCTCCCCCCCCACCCCGCCCCCAACCTCTGGATGGTTTTGTTTCCCCTCAGTCCTGTTCTGTCTGGTGTGGTGACCACTGGCCACTTGGGACTAGCACTTGAAACATGGCTAGTGGCATGTGTTGGAATGATGCCGAGTGTGAGGGAGTGCTCTTTTATATGTGCTGCAGTTTTATTCAAAGAAAAAAACCTCCCAAAAGCATGTTTCCTGGAGATTGGGCTTTTACTTGATGTTGTTGTATATAGTTGTATTTTCGCTTCTGGTTCAAATATGTGTCTGCGAGGTTTGCTTTTTCTGTTCAAGTGCCCATAAACTTTCATTTCATCATTTTTTTTAAAGATTTTACTTATTTATTTGACAGAGAGAGATCACAAGTAGACATAGAGGCAGGCAGAGAGAGAGAGGGAAGCAGGCTCCCTGCCGAGCAGAGATCCCGATTCGGGGGTTGATCCCAGGACCTTGGTATCATGACCTGAGCCGAAGGCAGCGGCTTAACCCACTGAGCCACCCAGGCACCCTCATTTCATCATTTTATTCTGCAGATGATCAAGATCATCTTTGGTCTTTCTCCACTCTCCCAGAGCTCCTTAAATACTAGACTGAGACTTTATTTTTAACAATATTATTTTAATCTGATTTTACAAATGTTCCTTGCTTTTTCAGAAGCAGCAGCACAAACTACTAGAGTTGTAGAGTAACCCACCTTTGAGATGTTAGTAGGTTTTATGATTAAAATTATATATATATATATATATATATATATATATTTTTTTTTTTTTTTTTTTTTTTTTTTTAAGTAGGCTCCACACCCAGCATGAGGCCCGACTTGGGGTTTGAACTCATGATCCTGAGATTAAGACCTGAGCTGAAATTAAGAGCCAGATGCTTAACTGACAGAGCTACCCAGGCACCCCTAAAATAATATTTTCAAGGTTAACATTATTCTGAAGAATTTGGTGTGCAGTGTTTCAGCATTGACTCAGCTATGCCAATATGACTATTTAAGGAATATTAGGCACTAGTTACCCACTTATAATTTGGCAGATAGTTTATTTAAAGTTACATACTTTAAGCCTTTTGCTGCCAATTATTAATATTTTTAGTATGTATGATATACTTGAGTGATATGTATTCATGTAATTGACATATATTTAATCTCCATAGACATGTCTAGATCAGATAGGTAGGTAGATAGAAAATAGCTTATAAATGTGAAACAATGTTTTATCCTGTTCTTCCAGAAAGAGTGCTGAATTTTCTCCGGATTGTCGCCCCTCCTGCAGATCAGTTATTCATGTTTTTCTTTACATATTAAAGTGCTTGTTTGAAACCCTGTTCCCACTTGCCATTGTTGATAGATTTGTCTTTTTTTGTATCTGCTGTCATATTTAGTTATTTCAGATTGTTGAATTTATCATGAGGGTGAACACCTTCTCTGTTGAGCAGTTGTTATCTGATTTTGATGGCGTGGAAGTCCATTCCAATCTGTTTATGACTTGAAAACTGCAGAAAGAAGTGACGCAAGGACTAGTTAGTGGATTCAGAAGGCTGAGCAGGTGCTTGGCCTGACTCATCCCAAAGGGCTGGGTAGATCTGGCTTCGGTGGAGGTCTAACCCCCATTCTGTCCACTGTATAAATGTATCAGGCAGTAGTACTGTAACTGGAAAAATCCAAGCAGCCGCCTCACTGTATTTAATAAAGAATGACTACAGATGCCTACAGCTCAGCTGTTTAATAGGAAATCTCAAGGTACCTTGAAGTATAATGCTAAGCTTTATAAAGTAAAACTTGTATGTTAATACACAATACACCTTGTATGTTAATCCAGTAGCTCTTAGAAACACACAGCTAAAGTGATGAATGTCAGGGATGCTGGCATATCCCAGTGGGAGCTTTGGTTTTATTGCTACTTAATATTTTCTAGGAAACTTGTTTTAATTATTGGTAGTCTGTTGGATACTATTTAGGAAAAAAAAAAGTTGGTCTTGGTGTAACCAAACTGATAGGCATTGATAGGATACAATGAAATGTTTAAGAATATTGCTTATCATTTCAGTTTTAAAGGAATTCTGTTTTTTTTTTTTTTGAAATGCTAGAAAGTCTTCCTCAATTTGAAGGGATGACACTCCCTGCTTGGGAAATCATACAGACATTTTAAGTCCTTCTTGTCTTTATTGAAACCAAGTGTCCACGTTAGTAAATGAGTTTAAACAATATTCATTTATTACTTTGCCTTTTATCTGAAATGATTTGATTCTTCATAGTAGACAGTTGCTTTCTATACAGTGATTTGTTTTTTAAGAAAATACTTTACATGAAAAGAGAGATTACAGTAAATGTAAATCTTAGGCTATTGATTTAATGGTTGAAGAAAACAGTACTGTTGGGTACTTTGATTTGGAAAAGGAGAACACATGGGTTCCACTGATATGTGCTGTCTAGAAGAATAACTTCATTCTGAACCAGTCTGTCACATTCTCATGTTCTCTTAGAGGGAAATTTTATAAGTAGGTAGTTTATTATTTATTCTTTTCTTCACTTTGCTAACTGTTGACATCCAAACACCTGAATACCAGCTGAGGCATTTATATGCTAGTGTTTTTAGTATTTATTTGCAAATATTCATAGAACTCTTGAATTTTTTGATTCAAGTTGCTAA